GATGGCACAGCCGTAGTCTAATTTGGATCTAATTAGGGATGTATAGAGAGTGAGGAGGGTATCTTTAGAGGCTCCCCTGTTGGAGCCGGTTAGACATCTTAGTGTGTTTAAGTCTTTGCTGCATTTGGTGGTTAGGTTTTGGACGTGTGCATCCCAGGAGAGATGTTCGTCGAAAATTAGGCCTAGGAACTTAGTTTGTTTTTGGAACTTAATTGGTTTGCTGTTTAGTTTGAGGATAGGGGTGGCCTGTCTCATATTTTTGTGTTTAAATACTATTCCTGTAGTTTTTTCAGAGTTAAGAGAGAAGCCCCATTTATCTGCCCATTGCTGAATTTTGTTTAGGGATTTTTGGAGTAGATCTTGGGATATTAGAATACTTTTGGAGCGGATCCAGAGGGCGCCGTCATCCGCAAATTTGGAAGTGTTTATTTTAGGGGATAAGCCATCAAAGAGATCGTTTATCATTATGTTAAATAGTGTCTGGCTAAGAATACTGCCTTGGGGGGTGCCATTTTCTAGGGGACACTGGTCCGACAAGGCCTGGTCTATACCCACTGTAATTTTGCGGTTTTTTAGAAAGTTTTGGATGTAGTCTACGATTTGACCTTTTAGCCCTAAGTTTTTGGATTAGCCCGTTGTGCCATACCATATCAAATGCTTTTGAAAAGTCCAGAAAGATGCCTGTTTTGTATTGTTTGTTGAGTTGTCCTGTTTTGATATCCTGTTCAAGACGGGCGAGATTATCTAAGGTTGAGCGGCCAGGAGTGAAACCGCTTTGGTCTGAGTTTATTATGTTGTTTTGGGTTAAGTAATGTTGTAGTCTATTTTTGGCCATGGATTCCATTACTTTGCATAGGTTGGAGTTCAAAACGAATATATTTACCAATTATATGTACGGTCAATTAGTCAGTCCAAGAGACAATACCATGGTTCTACACCTTTAGGTGTAATTACGTCGCATGCCCCTGGTTCACGGTTCGTCTGATCTCCCGTCATAAAACAACGATGTTTATTTACCTGGAGCCTCAGACAGCGTCGACTTCCTGTGTACATGTACGTACATGGCAATAAATGGTTTGACAGTTGTTTGACGGAATCAATCAATAATTATTGACAGAGTGATGTAATTTAATTTTGTCACCATTCACAACTCCTATTTTGATTTTCTATTGTTCAGCTGTATTTTCGATCAGTTTTATATGTATAAAAAATCTTCTCTAGTATTTATAAACCAAACCTAAAAACATTATATAAGAACAATTGTGTTTTTAAAACGTAAGTTTTCTATTAAAACAACCATGCAAGTAAGATTTCAGCCGTAATATTACTTTAGATACTCCACAGATTACACATCTTATATGCTGCAAACGCAGCGAATGTAATGCTACTACGTCACAGCTGCCTCGGTAATTAAGGGCTGGAATGTTTTGGTGAAGGCAGTTAGAGCAGACGAATTTCCCCCCTTGCTGTATAATGACGGTCGCTAACCATATATATATGTATTTTTCGTGTTTTTAGCTTGATTTGATTGTCCTTTGGTGAAAAACAAATGTTCAATTGTGAAAGCAAACCCTTTCCCCCTGAACGTTAAAAGACAGGAGACTTTGTTTTTGTCTGAAATATCAACGTTGAAGTCGTTTATATATTTGGAAATCCATATTATGGTATTTTTTTATTAAATGCATGTCCTGTTTTGTATATATGTATATATTATTATGTTAATATGGACAATGGTAAAATTCATTATCACAGTTTAAGTGCTATTCACAAATGTATGTAAATCTACTTCGTGATGAATGAAGCATGGCAATAAATGTATGCATCTGATTCTTCATTTGTTCTGTATTCTTTGATGAGAATGAGTTTCGTTAATGATGATCACTCTCACAGATTTTTTGATAAGAGAATAGGACTTTAACTGGAGAATAGTTATGAAAAATATATATGTAAGTATAGGCGGTCTGTGCACATGTGGTGAAACTGATACCTCATTGATTTGATAATCGGGACTTGGAAATCATAGTCTGTCATTAAATTGATTTTAAAATATATGGTTTTGACTGTAGTACGTCCTGACATCATAATATTATGTTGTAAACAACTTTTCTTATCTTATGTTAAGTAAAACAATTATTGATAACTTCCTGAATTCCAATTGTTCAATGAACAGAATTATTCACAGCTCTGGCGTGAGACAACAATAAATTAGATGTTACCAAAGATTGTCCATTTTATGATCTAGGGCACATGTCGGCGCACTTACATGTGAGCCGTCTAGACGACTGTCTGTTTTGTAATTAAATGGCAGCTGCCATCCAGCCGAATACTTAATCTTGAGCCCTATTAGTGTCTTGTCGAGTCAAGTGCGGGTCTCTCTCTCACCTTAGGGAGAATGCGACTGTAAAAGCCCCTCGCTAGACAGACAAGTAGTGAATGTTTGAGATAAATTTAATATTTATTATATATAGTTTAAACTCAATAAATAATTCATAGTCTTTTTATTGTTCAAATTACTAATAAAACATATTTTAACTTGTTCCTTCTAACCATATTTCTAAACAATTACAAACAATTACAAACAATTACAAGTCATTCCAAACATTTCCTGAGTTGGAAATATGTTTGGAAATGTTGCCAATCCAATTTTGGATTTTCTGGAAAGATCGATCCTTCCAAGCTTTGGAAAGTTTGGAATGAGCGATCTTTCCAAAGCAATCCAACGTTCATTCCAAATTGGAATGGACGCTCCTTGGTCCTGTGATTGGCCTGACAGTAATTACAGGTTTAGTGAGTGAGTGAGTGAGTTAAAGTTTAACGTCACGTCGGCAATATTTCAGCCATATCGTGACGAAATTACAGGTTTAGAATCAGTCTTGTCCAACCTCAAGTCCTATCACCATCCAAGTATTAGTCATTCAGACGTCATCACCCTTTCTCTTCTTTGCTCATTTACAATGGCAGTTGGGATGTTCAGTATTTTTACCTTTCATAATATTTGATGGCAGTTCTTGATTTTCTTCAAAATAAATACATAAAGTATGAAACAAATGGCTAACAATTTGCAATAATCATTTACAATTATCGATATCTCCAAAAATAGTCAAAAACATCCAAACTTAAATTGTTAATGCTTCGTTAGTTTTTTCATCTGCCATTGTCTTAAATAGGCTGATGTCATCTAAAGTAGTTGCCTGCAGAAGTCATTACTGACAACATCTTATCTTAATATTTCATGTAAATGATGCCACAATGGAACATTTCCAAGTGTAGTGTTAGGGTACATAAAACTAAACATTTCTAAAAGCTGCAGCTAGCTCTGATGTTAAAGTTACAAAGATAAAAGGTAAACTAAAAAATACTGAATTTTTAAAAAGATACTAATTTTTTATCATAGTTAATACTTTGAAAACCAACTGTAAGTAATATGAATACTTCTAGCTGTACAAAACAATCGAAATGCTTACACTAGTTACAGTACTATTTTTTATGTACCCTAATACATGTGTAGTTAATACTTGTAATTAAACACAAAGAGCAAAATAGAATAATAAACTTTATTACTAATTTATTATTATTTACAAGAAAACAGTGTTACTACCTGCAACAAGGCGGATGTGAAACATATATTCTCAAAACCAGTTTTAAAACACAGTCTAAACATATACCCCTCATATTGGCCTGCAAAATTTCATTTATGTGGCTTCAAATTCGTTTGCGAGACAAACTCCCCCCCCCCCCCCCCCCCCCCCCCCCATTCCATCAAGTTAAAAAAGCATGAAGCAAAGGCCATAACTCCTTACAAAATAAGTTCTTATAACCATCTTTTGGAGTTCGTACCATACTTAATAAATCTAAAGAAATTTAATCTACTCACCAGTGCTCTCTCAGTTGCTCGATTTTGGAAAAGCTGCTTGCAATGGCTGATCGTCTGGTTTTCTTAAATAGAAATATAAGAATATTATGTATTAAGTTTGTGTAGCAGCAGTGAGCACTAAGCTATGATGATGATGATGTCAACAGGTTGAGGGGAATATTGCTCAAAACATAAAAGTAACATTTAAATAAAGCTTTGGCCATACACAGATATCAGGTCCTTTCCTTAATTCATACATCTTATCTCATATATTTGCACTTGTATATTGACATAATATTGAACAGATCCTGTGAAGTCTGGTTACCACAAAACAGATTTCATTTATTATATGATAACATATATATGTAGATTATATCATGGGAAACCAAAACTGCAAATAAACGTTTATCATTAAAAGATCAGATACAAAGGTATGCGCATATTACAAACACTTGTATGCAAAAAATAGCAAAGCCAACGTCGGCCCGATGTAGATGTGCTAGCTGGGAGGTAAGTCCGCACAAACGGGGTCCCATGTAATTTATTCGTTCAGTCAGCACTTAAAGCTATTTCAGTCCCGGTTGCAACTATCCCTCTCGGTTGATGTAATCATGAAAAATAACTTAACTTAGAGATATTTTATCCAAAAAATGAACTGTACTAGCGCTTAGTCAGTACTCAAAACCTACTTCCACATGGCTTTGTTTTTTAAATATAATTTGATTTGAAACTTTTAAAACTTAAAAAAAATGCATATTACATAACTGCTGATGGGTATCCCAGACATCCTATCTTTGTAAAGCAATAAATTTGTGTGTTGTTTTTACATTCCAAACATATGGAATACTACAAGGGACATTTTCGCGTTGTCGCATTGTCGTCCTTCCACACGCAAGCAAAAATTGTCAAAATTAGCCAAAGCGCGACATTGCGACAATGTGACAACGCGACATTTTGGCCATTTGTCGCATTGTGATATTAGAGACGGGGCCCAGCTTAGCTCCTGGACTGCGTAAGAAGGGCAATTTCATATAACCAGTCTTTCCAAGGGAGAGCACTCTAAGTACTCGTGCTTCATGTTTACAATGTTTCAGAGATGGGAGTTGTGATTATCAAAGGATGATGATTGTTTGAGGAGGTAGGGACATAAATACATCAGACGACAACCTTTTACTCAAGAAAGACTAGAAGCATACAGCACAGAGAAGCTACATCTCAGACTTCAGGCAGGATAATCATTGAAAGTGACGCGTATCGTCACACACTCCACTGTGGCGTTATCGCCATCGGTGTACACCGCAGACCCAGACAAATTCTGCTTCTCAGATTAAATAATTGTGCAGTAAATTCCGCGGTAAAAACAACATTAGCCCCTAAAAACTAATACAAGCAAATTGCGCGATTTTTCTGCAATATTCAGCAGTAAGTTTCATTTTCTGCAAATCTTTGTCTAGGACTGCCACATTACAATAAAAAGTAGTGAAATTTGCTATTTTCTTTACTCATAACTCTACATCTCAGACAGGAAATCCCACATTTTGTAGTCAGAGGGGTCACGGGTGGCACAGTACTAAGGCACCGCTTTTTGCTGTGCAGAGTTGCGTCCCTTGGGCATGCCAGAAACCTATGATTGTTTCAATAATGTTCAAATCCTGGTTCGCCCCGATTATGTTTCTAGGTTTGTCAGCACCATACCTGTGCTCTTGGGTTTCACCGAAGTGGTAAACCTCTGAGACCTGCATCACTTCTGGCTTTCCTCCCACTTTAAGCTGACATGCCGTGATATAACTAGAATACTGTTAAAAGCGGCATTAAACCCAACTCACTCACTGTAGTCAGAGGTAGAATGAGTGTAGTGCACTTCTTGCATTACGTTATCTTTTCAAAGTTCTAGAATGTGTGTAAAATAGGAACTTGGCATCTGGATGATTAAGGAGAGGTTGTCAGCACATATATCTGACGTCTTGAATATAAATTTCCAAATCCCAAGGAATATACTCACTATGTCTATATACCAGCTGGAAGCCCTTTAATATAAATACAAGTCAGTGATAGTGGTAAATTAAAAAAATGCCATGATTATACCATCCTGTTATATATAGTATACCTTCTATATCTGAGCCCTGAAGTTGGATTTAACAGCATGTTAAGTTGTGTGTGTGTTTATGTATGTCTGTTACATGTAGAAAAAAACAACTATATGGGTACAACCATTTGTAAAGGGTGGGATCACCACAGCAATCTGTATATTGTTTTTTATGCCTGCTGGAATAAATTTATATACCGTATTCGACGTAATAAGCGCCCCGCTCTAAAAAGCGCCCACGGCAATATTTGCTAATAGATTGGCTAGTGAACAATCCCAATTGGCATCCCTTCCGATTGATCAATGCACACAACACTTATTTATTCGCGTAAAATACGCACTCGTGTGTTATATGCACCCTTAATTATGAGCAATTAAATTCTGGAAAAATGTATCGTATATAAACATTTCAGGCTGTCAGCATAAACCACAAAATTTATCTTTCAACCCTGGTTATTTTTCACCAAAATAATATTCTAATAAGAGCCCCCTATTTCTAATTTTGAGAGCGCCCTGTGCGCTTATTACGTCGAATACAGTATTACTTATTTCCATTCTGGGTGTGAGACCTTCACTCACTAACTCAGCCCACTCACCAGTACTACCGTGTCTCATGTTATTTCAGGTTGCAGTCATGTTAACCACGGACTAAGCGTTGCTTAGATCTCAGGCTGTTTTGAAAAATGGATCCATATACGTCTACTCAGGTAATGCAGAAAATAATAATAAAAGAAGACACATAAAAAGAATAATATTGAACATTTTTAATGAACCCAGAGTTCCAGATGACTTTTTGAGCAATTTTACTTGAAGGTTTCTATTTTTATTGGGTTATTACGTTTTTCATTGGGTAACCAATAATCTTTCACTCATCTATTTATCACTCCATTAGGGTTTTTCCCCAAATGAGTTAACATTTTTTAGAAAAAAGAAATAATGTTTTAGACGTACATGTATATCATGGTATATAACGGTTCTAAATATAGGCTTCACTCAGAAAGTAAATTAGCTCATAATTGTGTATGAGAAATTAGCTCTATTGTACGCATGCTGATAGAGCTTCATTGAGTATTTATGCATGCTGTTTTTATACATTTGATGCATGCATTTCTGTACGCAAGTATATTGAAAGTAATTGGGTTTTGAATATTTTGGGGAGGGAATTTACACAAATACACAGCCTATCTGTAGCTCTGGCACCGAATCCACCCACTGATAATTTCTGACTTCACTGCATGAAAGGGACAGGATGTCGACCATTCTGAAGGTTTGTTTGTAAACAATAGCCGATAACCTTACTCTACTCTGCTTGCCTTTTTCCGTTTCTGCTCCAGTGACCACACAGCTGGTGTAGGCTTGTTAAGTGACCAGACTTTCCTCCTGTAAATAAACACACTTATTCTGAAATAAGAACAGACATGCCCAATGCTTTTCATATACTTTTGCATAATTACATAGATATACTACTACAACTGTGACAGTGAGGTGCATGACAACAAAGCTTTACACTTCAAAGTGACCGTATATCGCTAGGTCTCCATTGGGTTTCAGTGACTGTACGTGGTGGATAAATAAACAAATGGAAATAGTTTTATACATTTTTGGATAATTTAAACATTTCATGATGTTTGTGTATCTAAACGTGAAGACTCATCTAAAACGAAACTGATGAAAAACACATGAATGGACTGTGTAGGATGTGACGATGTGACAGAGGTACTGGGCTGGCCCGAGGAACTCGGGGTGGGAGTGTGATTGGCTTCATATGACCAGGGCATGTTTAAATTGTAATAATCTCATCAGAAGTGGTTATAATTGATATTTTCTAGTACTGTTACATCGCTGACTATGTTCCTGCTTTTTTTCAGCTGGCCTCTGCAGGAGGCTATGGGTCTGAGTTTGAGTCTGATGCTGAAGAAAAGAAAAGGAAGTATGTCAAAGAATATATAGTTCTGCTGGAGCATGTGTAGTTCTGTCACCAGTGCCTTTGGTTTTTATATGGTTATGATGTTTTTTATTTGTTGTTTAACGCCACACTCAGCAATATTCGAGCTATATAACAGAGGTCTGTAAATAATCGAGTCTGGACTAGACAATCCAGTGATTGATATCATGAGCATCGATCCACGTAATTGGGATACGATGACATGCATCAACCAAGTCAGTGAGCCTGACCACCCAATCCCGTTAGTCACCTCTTAAGTCAAGCATAGTCACTTTTTATGGCAAGCATTGGCTGCTGAAGACCTATCCCCACTGATCTTCACGGTTCGGCAATGCTGTTTGAGACATAATATGTTTATAAGACATAATATGTTTACATGTATTTTTTACATACTAATATTGTACCATACTTATTCTTCTGCAATGTATTACAATTCTTTGGAAAGGATGGAAATTTGATCTCACTTAAAGTTTAACATATTTAGTTTTTGCTGTTCATATTGTATTATGGAGGTTTCAGTTGTCTTGTTAAGTATGTTTTTATCACATATTCAAGACACTGTTCTCAGACTGACCATGAGAACCACATGTGGGATCATCTACACTGAGTATTTGCACCTTTCAGACAGAACCTACAGAATCTTCTTCCCCAGAAGAAGAGGGGAACAGGAGGGGTCGCCAAGAAGAGAGAACTTGAGGATGAGTACAGCAAGTGAGTAGCCGTGATGCAGTGTGTGAGTAGTCGTGATGCAGTGTGTGAGTAGCAGTGATGCAGCGTGTGAGTAGCCATGATGCAGCGTGTGAGTAGCCATAATGCAGCGTGTGAGTAGCCATGATGCAGCATTTGAGTAGCCATAATGCAGTGTGTGAGTAGCCATGATGTAGCGTGTGAGTAGCCATAATGCAGCGTGTGAGTAGCCATGATGCAGCATGTGAGTAACCATGATGCAGCATGTGAGTAGCCATGATGCAGCATGTGAGTAGCCATGATGCAGTGTTTGAGTAACCGTGATGCAGCCAGTGAGTAGCCATGATGCAGCGTGTGAGTAGCCATAATGCAGCATGTGAGTAACCGTGATGCAGTGTTTGAGTAGCCATAACGCAGCATGTGAGTAGCCATAATGCAGTGTGTGAGTAACCGTAATGCAGTGTGTGAGTAGCCATGATGCAGCATGTGAGTAGCCATGATGCAGTGTGTAAGTAGGCATGATGCAGCATGTGAGTAGCCATGATGCAGTGTGTGAGTAGGCGTGATGCAGCGTGTGAGTAGCCGTGATGCAGCATGTGAGTAGCCATGATGCAGTGTGTGAGTAGCCGTAATGCAGCATGTGAGTAGGCGTGATGCAGCATGTGAGTAGCCATGATGCAGTGTGTGAGAAGGCGCGATGAAGTGTGTGAGTAGGCGTGATGCAGCGTGTGAGTAGCCGTGATGCAGCATATGAGTAGCCGTGATGCAGTGTGTGAGTAGGCGTGATGCAGTGTGTGAGTAGTTGTGATGCAGCATGTGAGTAGCCATAATGCAGTGTGTGAGTAGACATAATGCAGTGTGTGAGTAGGCATGATGCAGTGTGTGAGTAGGCGTGATGCAGCGTGTCAGTAGCCATGATGCAGTGTGTGAGTAGGCGTGATGCAGCGTGTCAGTAGCCATGATGCAGCATGTGAGTAGCCATGATGCAGTGTGTGAGTAGCCGTGATGCAGCGTGTGAGTAGCCATGATGCAGTGTGTGAGTAGGCGTGATGCAGCGTGTCAGTAGCCATGATGCAGTGTGTGAGTAGGCATGATGCAGCGTGTGAGTAGCCATGATGCAGTGTGTGAGTAGGCATGATGCAGCATGTGTGTAGCCATGATGCAGCATGTGAGTAGCAATGATGCAGTGTGTGAGTAGGCGTGATGCAGCATGTGAGTAACCGTGATGCAGTGTGTGAGTAGCCATGATGCAGTGTGTGAGTAGTCGTGATGCAGTGTGTGAGTAGTCGTGATGCAGTGTGTGAGTAGCCATAATGCAGCGTGTGAGTAACCGTAATGCAGTGTGTGAGTAGCCATGATGCAGCATGTGAGCAGCCATGATGCAAAATGGGAGTAGTCGTAATGCAGCTGATGAGTAGCCATGATGCAGCGTGTGAGTAGCTGTGATACAGGTGGTTGAAGTGATGCAGCAAGAGAGTAATTGTTGTGCATGGATTACTTGGAGAAGTTTTCATCATATTTATCCCTTACGTGGCAAGGATGTACCAGGTCTTTCTATATGCGAATCTAAGAACTTTCATTCTGAATTTTTTCCTTTAGGTGAAGGTCTTTAGGTGACCACTGTATTTGTTAACAAAAAATAACATAGCATATGTATAATTCCTTATGATGGTTATTTCTTTGTTTCAATTCAAATTCATTGATTGAGTTTAGAATATCTGACATGAACATTAAGAAATTGATATTGACTGATTTCAGAATAAATGTATTCATTAAAGCTAACATGCATTGTTCTTTACATTAGTAAGTCTTAAATTCTCTCAAAATGCATTTGTTTGTGCTGTTAACATCATCTCCTCAGAAACATCTGGACCAGGGAAGCTGACTCTTCCCATGCTTGTACCCACCAGTCATGACAATCTTTGTTATGAGTTTGTTACAGCTGTTAGAATCCCATTCTTAAAAAAACATATCAAAAGCCAATTGTGGTATACATTTAGCTAGAAGTGGGATCTTGGTGTTTTGACCATGCTCTTAAGATCTGTCAATATGCATATTTACCGCCATATTCCCGAGGCAAGAGCGTCCACTAGCCTTTTTATCAAAATCTTGTTTCCACCCTTGCCTAATCAAGCCCACTTTCCTGTGCTGAATACGATTGGACTATTGCACATATCAATAGTCCAATCAGAGAACGTTTCACAAAATTAACATCCACACCTGGTACACCTTCGTATGGAAGTGATTTTCAGCTGCCTGTCACTTTTTAAACCCCCCAACAATTGCCTAAAGTATGTTTTTATGTCAGGAATGAAATCGTGAATGTCGACGCCATTGGTAGTTGCTCTCTTTTTGAAGCTTTATGAGGAAAAGCGATCTGATTGCATATCACATTTTCATTACTTAGGGGCACAACGCGTGATCTATGCGAGGTTGGGCCAGGGTAGAAAAGTTTGCCTTGATGTGGCAAGGGTAGAAACTAGGCTTTGATATATTCTAGTGGACACGCTTTACCGCTGTTATATTCTTCTTCTGTGAGATTAGTTATTTTGTCCTCAGTATTTATGCAGAAAGTATTTGAATGTCAATATTGACAACTTCTTTTGACAAGCGTCTGTATTTGTTGACATTTTAAACTGATGGCTACATATCCAGGTGAGCTACAGTGTCGTTGCACTATGTTTATGCATTTATGATGCAGCATTTTGAACCAGATGTATTATGTGTTTCAGAGAAGAATGGAAAATCCAGCGCTTGCACATTCTCAGCATGGATGCAGTATCCTTTTGCAGATGAGGAACACGATAATATCTATACATCAGTTGTACAATGGTAACATTAATGGCCCCCCACAACAAGTAACATATGGGCATTCTAAATGTGTATGACACAATGCCCCAGTCAGCAGAGCAGTGTTTATTCAAATGGATTTCTCAGCTTCCTGGGGAGTATGCAACCCAAGCTGGCTGATTCTCTTTACCGTACAATTCCACCGTGGTCTTGTCCACTGTTAGAGAATGGTTAGACATGTGAGAACAAACAAAGCACCTTGATAAAAGAGATGTCAAAGAGTATGAGTTCCTGTAGTGTACTAGCTACTTGAGTGTACAAGTACAACTAACAAACTGCAGTGGCAGAGAGATTTACCGTTCCTTCAAATATTCATGGTTTTACACCGCACTCAACAATATTCCAGCTATAAACAATAGAGTCTGGAGCAGACAATCCAGTGATTGACATCATGAGCAATGATCCCAGCCATTGGGATACCAAGTCACAGATCCGGGGTAGAATAGGTCTTTAACAACCCATTCTTGCTGTAAAAGGCAAGTACACTTGTCTAAAGACGCGACTAACGGGATCGGGTGGTCAGGCTCACTGACTTCGTTGCTGCATGTCATTGTATTCCAATCACGTTAATCGATGCTCATGACGTCAATCACTGGATTGTCTGGTCCAGACTGGATTATTTATAGCCGTCATATAGCTGGAATATTGCTGAGTGCAGCGTTAAACAGTAAACAAACAAACAAACCAAGTCAAAGAGCCTGACCACCCTTTCTAGTCTCTTCTTGCAATAAGTCAAAGTTGCTCTGGACCTATATGCTTATCAGAATCCTTGCAGTTTTCCTACAAGTAATTCTACTGGTAGGCACATGCAGTGTTTTGTCTTCTTTGACCCCTCAAAGTACGCCAGACACAGGAAGTACATCAATGACTATCTCCTCTACTATGGAGGATCTCAGAAGGATTTCAAGCGAGACACGTGAGTTTCGACTGTGACATAACCACATTTGACATGAGGCAGTAGGGTCATTAGAGTTCGCACATCAACTTTATTCATTCGACACCACTCACCCCTTTCCGTACCTGCAAGAAGACTCGTCCCCCTTTCGATGAATGTTTTGTGCTAAAATATGACAAACCAACCAGAATGTGTGTATTACTTTAAGTACTTCGGTCAAAGAATTCCTCAGGAATATTTTTTTATTTTACATGTATTGCTTCTAAAAAGGTCCCCAGATACAGTTTAATGTGTTCAATCATACTGTATAAAATACCGTAAGTCCCGATGTGGAATATATATGACATGGGGAAAAATACATGAATCATGACACAATGTGATGATAATTCTATGTTTCTTTGCGCTTAGACAGAACCCAGTCGCAAAAATGGCCACTAGAGGGGCACAAGTTTTCGTCTTGTCTCAGAATAACACGAGTTGGCCACAAATGCATCTTTATTTAGTGGTCATAATGCTCCACCTATTGTAGTTCATGTGTGAAGGTCATTGTGAACCTACTATTGGCATCTTCCCGAGGCAAGAGAGTTAACTGACTTTAAAAGTCCAATTTGCACCCTTGATGAACTAGGCTGGAATTTCTAGGCGCGATAGTAGCGCCACCACTAGTTATTACGAGTTATGTCTCCTCTAAGCCTCTCCTATATGGACCAATCGGATTCCATCACTTGCATTTGTTTCAAACAAAATGGCGGCGCCCAGTCAAGAAGATCTGATTGATCATCAAGATTTATATTTTGATAAAACGGGCCTTACATCGCGAAGTACATCAAATCACGCGAGCACCTTGATTAAAAACATGAAAAGGTTTGGAAAATATCTGTTGACAACGAGTTGGTGGTACAAACTGCAAATCCTGCAATCGACCGAAATCTGCACTGAAGTTTACGAACCGGATTTCGATTTCGTTGCATGATTTTGATTTCGTTGCGTGATTTTGATTGGACTATGCACAGACTTGTTAGTCCAGCCAAAACGTAACTCCATTATACCAGCCTAGTTCTGCAAGGGTGGAAACTGGACTTTTATAGTGAGTTAACTCCCTTGCCTTCAGGAAGATGACTATAGGAAGTTAGCAGTCCTGTTTAAATCAAATCATTTACTTCTCCGACACTCTTAGCGTGAAGATTTGATGACACCTCCATGGGACGTTGTGTCAGGTGTATGCTGAGGTGAACTTTAACCTCCCAATCTGAATGAAGGATGGGTGATTCTTTTGCCAAACAGATGTCAGCTTTCTGAAACAATTCAGCTTCATTTCTTTACCCCCTGGAATTTGAATCTTAGCTAAAGTAAACCACCATTTTTGTGTGGATGACATGGCGCTCAGAAACAGCAGAATGTATACAATCCCACAACAATATGATGGTGCATCTGTATATTTTGCATTTGGAAGTCTCGATTATATTTACTTTGAGATAAGAAAATCGGACATGCTTGTCCGATTGCTTTGCTTATTCGAACTGAGAATTTACATGTTTCGGGGCTAAATGGTCTATCTCCATACCGAGAGGTGTCATATTGAAAATGTCTAATTATTATGAGATTGTTGAATTAGCTGTTGCAGTGTTGGTGTTGGGATTGTCTTAGTGCTCTGATTATTTGAAATGCATCAGATAGTACAAGATGAAGTTTTCTCACTGTTGTATTTTTTTTTTAAGTATTAGAGATGCAGCATCTTTGTCTTCAAGTATCATAAGGCTAAAAAAAATAATAGTCTTGGTTCTCAGGCACCATCAGCATCATCATAAAGTCCGCTGCACATTTCATTTTTATTACCATTTTCAAACAAAAACAATAATCTTTAAATATTCCGCATCTCGAACACACAACCCCGACATTGAAATGCTACAATAATTAAGAACAACATATTTTCAATGGAATTATTGTAAACAAAATTTTGATTACATACCTGCTTGAACCCCCCCCCCAAAAAAAAAACCCTGCCTACCTGCACTATATTTTCAAAAGCCATTGCCTGTGAACCAATTCTTTTATTTTTTTAAGCCTCTGTTGGAAAAGGGAGAGAGGGAGACTTTAGAGTTGTGACTGTAGAGTTGTGACTGACTGTGGAAGTGGCTTCTGGGCGTTATGCTCAAGCTTGTTACAGTATATTTGTTTGGAGTCTAAAGCGTGTGTAATACAACTATAGATGCTGCAATCAATAGAAATATTAAAGATTCCTCAAACAACTTCTTTGTACGAAGGATTAAGACTCCAGTCCTGTGTAATTTTATCAGCTGCAGATTTTAAGAGAACAACACATTTCATGAGACCTTTCTGCACTGTTTTTCTTCAGGTCTAGGGACAGGACAGACTTAGACGTTATCCGAGAGAATCACCGATTTCTGTGGGATGAAGAGGATGAAGATGACTCATGGTAAGACAAATGCCTGATAGTGATGCTGCTAACTCTGTGTTGCCCTGTTGTCATGGTCAGAGGCCTCAAAGAATACTGTATTCACCATATTAAACACCTAGCTCCAATAAGCTTCTAGACTGAAAGCAATCTTAATAAACGCCCGAACCTGAGTAACAAAATTGACATGACAGCCCCTATTTTGTTGTGTATATCATAGATTATTCATAAAATACTGCAGTGTAGAAGGGAAAGATAACTATTGTCAAATATTGTAGTTCTTCACTACTGCTTGATCTCCGACAACAAATTTGCCTTTATCATTCTCTAGGCATCCGGATGAATATTACGGCCATTAGTGTGCCATCATACTCCCATGGTACTGGTGACATGTATTTTTTTTAGCCGATGAAACATGACTTTCGTATCTTGCGGAAGTCAAATGGGCCCTCCTCCATGCTCAAAATTGTTGTGCAGATTGCCGTTTGTGCGATGTCATCTGGCTCACATTTGTCTCAACACTTGTTAGTTTCTCTCCTGCTGAAACCAGACTGTCTGGAATCTTTGGTTAAAAATTGCGGCAATGTCGAAAAGTGTCTGTATGGGTTCACAGAAGATGTGGGAACGTCATGTATACAAACATGTGATGAATTGACGATGGATTAAATTGGACAACCATTCAGCTCAATGAGCCAGGACAAAGTCGAAATCCTGCTTGTGCTGTATTGATCAGCTAGACAACAGGTGCCATTGGGCAGTGTTATATATTGCATTGGGAGAACATTTTTTATTTGTATTTGCAGGGAGAAGAACCTGGCCAAGAAGTATTATGACAAGCTGTTCAAGGAGTATTGTATAGCCGACCTCAGCAGGTACAAGGAGAATAAGGTGAATGAAGATTCAAAATTCAATACCACAGCCTGTCCATGTAAATTGTATCAATGTTTTTTTCTCACAATTTCAACACTGTGTTTGGTCAACGCTATGCTCAGCGTTAGTTCACAGAAGTCAAACATCACAGAATTTGTGACTTTTTGTTGAAAGTAAAATCTAATTACACTTAGATAAATGTTGAAGAGAGCACATAGTGTTCCTGTGTAGCTCTGCCATGTGTAGCTCTGCCTATGTAGCTGATCCTGTGTAGCTCTGCCTGTGTAGCTGATCCTGTGTAGCTCTGCCTGTGTAGCCATTCCAATGTAGCTCTAGCTGTGTAGCTGATCCTTTGTAGCTCTGCCTGTGTAGCTGTTTGCGTGTAGCACTACCTGTGTAGCTGATCCTGTGTAGCTCTGCTAGTGCAGCTGATCCTGTGTAGCTCAGCCTGTGTAGCTCTTCCTGTGTAGCTGTACCTGTGTAGCTGATCCTGTGTAGCTCTGCCTGTGTAGCTGTTTGCGTGTAGCTCTACCTGTGTAGCTGATCCTGTGTAGCTCTGCTAGTGCAGCTGATCCTGTGTAGCTCAGCCTGTGTAGCTCTGCCCGTGTACATGTTTGCGTGTAGCTCTACCTATGTAGCTGATCCTGTGTAGCTGATCCTGTGTAGCTCTGCCTGTGTAGCTGTTCCCGTGTAGCTCTAGCCGTGTAGCTGATCATGTGTAGCTCTGCCTGTGCAGCTGATCCTGTGAAGCTCTGCCTGTGTAGCTGTACCTGCGTAGCTTGGCCTGTGTAGCTGTTCCTGTGTAGCTGATCCTGTGTAGCTCTGCCTGTGAAGCTGTTCCCGTGTAGCTCTAGCCGTGTAGCTGATCCTGTGTAGCTCTGCTAGTGCAGCTGATCCTGTGTAGCTCAGCCTGTGTAGCTCTGCCCGTGTACATGTTTGCGTGTAGCTCTACCTATGTAGCTGATCCTGTGTAGCTCTGCTAGTGTAGCTGATCCTGTGTAGCTCTGCCTGTGTAGCTGTTTCCGTGTAGCTCTAGCCGTGTAGCTGATCATGTGTAGCTCTGCCTGTGCAGCTGATCCTGTGAAGCTCTGCCTGTGTAGCTGTACCTGCGTAGCTTGGCCTGTGTAGCTGTTCCTGTGTAGCTGATCCTGTGTAGCTCTGCCTGTGAAGCTGTTCCCGTGTAGCTCTAGCCGTGTAGCTGATCCTGTGTAGCTCTGCCTGTGCAACTGATCCTGTGAAGCTCTGCCTTTGCATATGATCCTGTGTAGCTGTTCCTGTGTAGCTCTGCCTGTGTAGCTGTTCCTGCATAGCTTGGCCTGTGTAGCTGTTTGTGTGTAGCTGTTCCTGTGTAGCTGTGCCTAAAAGTTCATCCATGCTTGCCGTAAGAAGTGACTAACGGAATCAGGTGGTCAGGCTCATCTATCCCAATTGCGTAGATCGATGCTCATGATGTCAATCATTGTATTGTCTGGTCTAGACTTGATTATTTACAGACCACCGTCATGTAGCTGGAATACTGCTGAGTGGGCGTTAAACAACAAACAAACAAACAAACAAATATTTCATGACAGGAATGTTTTCCTTTTCCTAGATCGGCATGAGATGGAGGGTTGAGAAGGAAGTGGTGGATGGCAAGGGTAAGACAGCTCTTTTTTTCAGTTTTCTGTTTATTGGTTTGACTGACTGAAACCCCAAAGTCACTAACGGTAAATACAATGAACATTGTGTTATTTATTATATTTGCCCAACCCAGTTTAGAATGATTCTATTTATGTTTACTTATATTTTTATAAAAGTTTAGCATGGTAGGGAACCTGATATTAGTTAGTACGTTAGTATGTTTATGTTGTCTTGACATTTGACTATTGATTATAGTTGGGCAAGTCTTTGTTTTCAGTTGATTTACAGATCACATTTCAATGAACCTAAATGGAAAAGTAGAAAAATGTGTGTCAGGAGTTGTCTCCCTTGGTATGGTTGCCCAACTGTGTAACGTTTGATACATCCCTAAAATAACCACACCTTTTCTCTGAGGAACAGTGATTTGCCAGATCATTGGGGGATGTAATATATAAAAATCCACCCAACAAGATTATTGATTTGAGATGCGAGCTCATTGTTTCCATTTTGAATATAAAACTCACATATTCACAGTAACACTGTGAGCTCTGCCTTTTGTTTCCATCTAGGTAGTTCTTCTTCTTCATCTCGCTAGGACTCGGGGCATGGGCCTGGCTACAACTTATCATGATAAATAGTATGAAGTATGTTTTCAGGGCAGTTTGTGTGTGGAAACAAGAAATGTAATGAGAGAGAGGGCATGCGGAGCTGGGAGGTCAACTTCGGATATATGGAACACGGGGAGAAGAAGAATGCCCTCGTCAAACTACGTCAGTCCATAAACTGTTGTGATTAAATTATTGAATTGATTTAGATTGTAATTCATATGTAACTTGTTTGCTCTTGTTTACTGTGATATCAAAGTGTAACAAATGCACCATTTCTGGGTTCAGTTGAATGCCAAGAACAATGTGAGGGAGTTCATGAAGGTTGCTCTGTTAAAAAAAGCAAGTAAATAATGAACTCTCAGTAGACACCCATATGTCTCTAAATAATTATGTATTTTGAAGTTAATTATTGAGGTAACCATTATCCATACTTTACGGTCTTGTTAAGCCCATTGATAATATCAATGGTGAAGCACCTATCAGTGTCAACTTTTGACTTTTATTTTGTCACTAATCATGCTAATGTATTGTCATTTGCCAATTGAAACTTGCAATCCATTGACAGCTCAGTCAGCTGTCACACCCCTTTCTATGTGTTTTGTAAAATCAAGTGAAGTCCGGGTTAGAATTGGTCTTCAAAACCCATACTTGTCGTACGAGGCGACTAACGGGATGAGGTGGTCAGGCTCGCTGACATGGTTGATGCATGTTATAATGTCCTAATTGCATAGATCAATGCATCAGTCACTGGTTTGTCTGGTCCAGGCTTGAGTGTGGAGTTAAACAACAAACAAAGATGCCATGGATATAATCTGTATTTTACTACCTCCTTAGTGTCATGGATATCCACATCATCTTGTGCTTGTTATAACTGTAGGAATCAGATGGTCAGGCTTTGAGCGGGACGTTGTTCATAATATCAGTCACTGATTTGTCTGTTACAAACTTTTACTTAAAGGCCACCATCATATGGCTTGAATATTGCTGAGTGTGGCGTAAAACGACAAACAAGCATTTTGTATACTGAAGAAGGTACACATTGATACACATTCCCTACAAAACCCTGTGTGTGATTGTTGTTTTTCACCACACTCAGCAATATTCCAGCTATATGACAGTGATCTGTAAATAAACAAATCTGGCCCAGAAAATCCAGTGATTGATATTATGAGCAACAATCCACACCATCCGGGTAAGATAAACGCAATCAACCAAGTCACCAACAGGGGTGGGAATCTTCCGTGGATCCGTGAATTTCCATGAATTTAGTTAACATGTTTGTTAAAAGCCCCCCAACCCCCCATAAACACCCCTAAATTTTGGATCAAGAAGGTTCAGCTGAAAAGGAAAAAATCTGTTCTCAACTCTGCATCAATCTTGGCCAACCAATCAACTAAGTCAACTCCTATGACCAGCATATGTTGCTGGGGACCAGTTCTAACCCGAAATCACCATTGGGTTCAACTAGTTAAGCGTGATCCATTCATCTAAACGTGTTGATATTTTACAGGCTTGTGTCCGGACTGTTCCTACAAACTGAACTACCGTCACAGGTAAGTCAACACAACCATGTTTTCCTGGTGCTTATAACAACACTTTGAATGTCTGAACATTAAGATCAATCTCATTAAAATCAGATCTTAGTTTTCGCTCCCGCTGAAGACATCCCATTACGGTTCACGTCAGAATGACCTTTCGCGAACTTTGACCGATCAATGAAATGACTGACAAGAAATCGACATCAGCCAATCAGAAGGCAGCTTTCTCGAGCTTTACGACACGAGTTTCAAACTGGCGCTTTGAAACATATTTTGACGTATTCTTGATTAAATTTTTTAAAACTGATAAAAAGAACATTCTGGAATGGCTTACAGATGGCCTAGATTGTATGGATATAATCATAAAACCCGTAACTGTCGTTCAGAAACCCTGTTAAATATTTCGAGGTTGCATGATTAGAAAACACATTCTGTCTGTCACTTTCATGATCTGGTAAGTGACGCTTTGATTGGTTGGATGAGAGGTCGTTCTGACGTGACCGGTAATGGGATGTCCTCAGATCTTTGTTTAGCGATGATTTTAATGAGATTGCATTTAGATGGACTGTGTATCTGGTGGATTTTATGTATGCTTCTTATAGCCTTTGAAATTAACGCTTGTCCAAGACCATTTTATTGTGCTGTGGACAAATAAAAATCGAATAATGGTAGTCCTCAAAGACTAGTAGCATTGAAATAAAATTAATATGTTCTGTCTCATTACCAGAAAGAAGGAAGTGGTACCCAAAAATAAAAACAAGAAAGGCAAGAGATCAAAGAAGAAGCACAAGTCCGGCTATAGTTCGTCATCAGGTAAAACATTCATCTACTCGTGGCCGGGGGTATTTAATATGTGCCCCTTGTGTTTGAAAACTTAACAGAAATGAGGAGTAGGTGGCTCAAACAGAATCAGATCAGTTTAAGCTGAGATGGACGGTGGTCAAAACAAAAACTGACCAGATGAGACTTTAATGGAGGATGACAATTATTCTACCATGACATTGAAGAATGCTTGATTCTGAATGGTTACTAAGTGGTATCCTTTTTCCCACTGAAAGCCCTTCTAAATATATCATGCCTCTTCACACCAAAACCGTGCATATGAATACATTGATAGCCTTCATATCTATCCATAAAAACTGACTGCTGATCACCCATAAGAACTGTATATATCAATATTTCCTTCTTTAGACGCTGTGTCTAATACAAGCCAGGTCTCAAATACCCGCTGGGTTAACGGCTCTCACAAATTTGATAGATGCCTGAGAGTTTAATAGAGGAAACATTTTACGTCTGATATCACATGTGTTTTGGCAACAATTTTGACCGCCTTGGTCGTAACCCTGAGTGCTTTGATGATGAGATTTCAACACTTAATGAAGGCATATATTTTGCTTTCAAATGATATCATTTATGAAACTCTTAGGGGCATGTTCAGTGGCAACGGGGTAATTTCCTCATTGAAACAAACAATAATGAAAGTAACATAAAACATTATATAAAGTGTGTTTAGAAACACACCCTCCAATTTTTATTCCATGTTGCCTAAACAGGGACCTGAAATTTGACCATCATAACATAGTCTTTTGAAGGTGCTAAAAGTTCTTTGCGAAGAAATTTGATCGTCTTGGCACAGTATTTGATTGCTGCTCGTTGTCTTAGCATGGAAGTTGTATATTGCCAGGCTTTCTTAGTGCATGACTTGCCGAGCTTTGTGTATTATGCCAAGCTGAAAGTTCAAAGTTTGCCTTGTCAAGTGTTGAGGGTGATAGTGTTTATATGATTCAGATGAAGATGCTGAGGAAGAGGAGAGTGCATCAGTACCTGCAGCAGGAGACACTGTCAAAGATGCCCAGAAGAAGGCTGAGAGTGAGAATACTTCATGGCAGGGGCCAGCTAAGATTGCTGAGGAAAAGTCAAGGTAAAACACAGGACTAACATTATGTAGTTCCAGTATTTGCTGAATTGTACACTTCTTCACCGATATTATGCTTGCATGATATTCACTGATGCTTAAATAACCTGTATTACACTTCCTGGTGTATAGAAATATTATGTCAGAATAGTCACTATTGCATTGTGTTAATACATGCAGTGTGTATGCGTATTACATGTTACACTTGAAGGCATTTGAATGTCTTCGTGGTTTAGTGGGAGAGCATCTGCCCGTAGAGCAGAAGATGCGGGGTTCGATCCCCGGCCGCGCCATACCAAAAGACATTTAAAAATGGTACTTGTTGTTACCCTGTCTGGCGCTTGGCATTAAGGGGCTAAAACAAGGACTGGTCGGCTCGGAGTCAGTGTACTGTGTCTAAGTGGGGTAATCATGTTGTGACATACCTGCAACATGGTATCTCAGTGGGCTAGCACTATAAATCGGCATCAGTCCAGAATAGTACCAAGCAGCCACACACACACACGTGCATGCACATCGATATATGACCCGTGAAGATTCACCGTAAAAGGTGACTATGCTTGTCGTAAAAGGCGACTAACGGGATCAGGTGGTCAGGCTCGCTGACTTGGTTGATGCATGTCATCTTATCCCAATTGCGTGGATTGATGCTCATGATATTAATCACTGGATTGACTGGTCCAGACTCAATTATTTTACAGACCGCCGTCATATAGCTGGAATATTGCTGAGTGCGGCGTTAAACAACAAACAAACAAACATCGCTATATATGTGCAATAATCATGAATGTGACGATAAGCCCCATTTCACCTCTCCTCACCTTAAGGGCATTGGTATCCCAGACTGAATCAAAAGTATCCTGATTTATTGACTATTTGATTATTAGCAATACAAGTATGTGCATACATACAAGAATCCAATGTCGACCTGCTTTTTATCAATTTAGTGCAAAATATGAACAAGGCTGATCCATTTAATGTTTAAATTGAATTTCTGCCTTGTCCATCTTTACCATGCTAATCTTTTCAAATGTAAGCGTTTCAGTGGGAGTAAATTATTAATTTAGTATTGTGGTTCATACATTTGTATGGATACTGAATTAACATTAAAAAGGCAGGGATACATGAATATCACAATAAACGATGACATCCATAGTCTAAGGCCTTTCGAATTTGCTGTGGAGAGTTGCCTGACTTTGGCATGCCAGAAGCAGGCTCCTCACAGCGATAGCCCGTTCACGCAGCCTTCTAGATACTATCGCTGCCACCAGTCAAAACTCCCCACTGTGAAAGATGGCCCCAATATTGCCAGAAGCTATGACAGTAGGTTGGAATCCAAGATTCACCCTGATTATGTTTCTTGGCACCAGAGTCATGCTGGTGGTTTCTCCAACGTTAGGAAACATAAATTATCCCTTTTGGAAGATGTAGTTTGTGTAGACTTATCCGATATTGCTTGCTATTTTAGCCACAAATGATTTACTGGGCCAAAATGTATAAAGATGTTTTGGCTTGTCACAGTAGTATAATGATATGCACATTGCTTCACACATCTTTGATACTCTGCATTATGTTTCAGGGAAGAAGAATTTGAGGACTATTTTGAGGATATGTTTTTGTGAAGTATCCAACTCAAGACACTGGAATAAGAGATGTGCTTTTTGGAATATTGACAATATTTAACTGGTAACCATGATAACATTACCAGTCCTGCATTCTTTTGTGTATGGACAACATCCAGATGATACTGCTGACACTGTGAATGATGTACATCCAACATGGAGAAGCTCATCAAGAGAGCTTCACGTGGTTGTCTTGCTTAGACTTACCCTTCATGGCTGGCTGCATTGTGTGTTCAAAACCCATATCTTCTTGCGGGCTTGAGACAAAACCTTGTGTGGACTTATATCGATTATAGTGTGCTTGGTTATTGCACCCTTGGACAGATGGTGTGACAATACATATAATTCATGCCGGGGTAGAATAGGTCTTCAGCAACCCATGCTTGCTATAAAAGGCGACTATGCTTGTCGTAAGAGGCGACTAACGGGATCGGGTGGTCAGGCTTGTTGATTTATGTCATTGATCCCAATTGTGTGAATCGATACTCATGATGTCAATCACTGGATTGTCATATAGCTTGAATATTGCTGAGTGCGGTGTTAAACAACAAACAAACAAACAAACATAAATGATGCTTGTGACAGAACCTTGTATGGTCTCCGAGTCTCAGGCACCTGGCATTCTGCTTTTCCTTCCATAATCACCATCCATAGATTACTTTGAGGAAATAGCTATTATTTTACTCATGTATAAGAGCAATAGCAATAATGGACTGAAGTCCACAGTGCATCACTTCCTATAGACTCCAGATGTCTTGTGCACTGATATAAACTGTGAGCTATTGCAGTGCCTGTCAACACTACATGATAGTATTGCATGTGCTTCATAGGACTGTTGTGATTGAGGGGGCATGGGTGGCCCAATTGTCTAAGGCACCGTGATTCGCTGTGCAGAGTTGTGTCCCTTGGGCACACCAGAAACCTATGATTGTGGGTTCGATTCCCGGTTCATCCTGATTATGTTTCTAGGTTTGTCAACACCATACCCGTGCTCGTGGGTTTCACCGAAGTGGTAAACGTCTGAGACCTGAATCACTTCGGACCTTCCTCCCACATTAAGTTAACACGTCGTGATATTACTGGAATACTGTTAAAAGCGGCGTTAAACCCAACTCACTCACTCACTCACTCACTCACTCACTCACTCACTCACTCACCCACCCACCCACCCACTCACTCACTCACTCACTCACTCACTCACCCACTCACCCACCCATAGGACTGTTGTGATTCCCTATGTTTGCCCTGCTTGTTAATACCTTAAGGTTAATGCTGTTCGCTACCAAATGGTAAACAACTGCCTTGAATTTACTGTAATGTGGAAATGCTCTGACTATGTGGAAGGTTGTAATAAGGTATCTTAATGATCATTCTTAATGAAGCTTATTTACAACCACCATTTACATCTGTTTACCATCTTTTCTTAAATTTGAATGTTTTTTCCTGTTTTAACATGCCCGAGGAGTCTTTTCACAAGTTGCAGACGAGTTAATTGAACAAGATGTAAGAGACAGAAAGAGAAGAGGCAGATTGTTAACTCTAGCGATTTAAAATTAAAAGATATCTCAAAGGAGGTAAATTTACCTTTAGTAATTTGCAGTTGTAATTAGCAAGTATACTCAAAGGGGCAGATAATCAAGTGCTTTGTACTTTTAACTGGTGTATGTAGGTGAAGGAACTCTTGTTCATATGTGGGGGTATGTTGTCAGATGCTGTAATTTGCAGTTGTAATTAGCAAGTAAACTCAAAGGGGCAGATAATCAAGTGCTTTGTACTTTTAACTGGTGTATGTAGGTGAAGGAACTCTTGTTCATATGTGGGGGTATGTTGTCAGAAGCCTATTTTCTTGATTATGAGGTTTACTTGGGTATAGATGAGAGTTACACGTGATATATGAATGTTCAGTCTCTCACAGGGGGGCACGGGTGACCCAGTCGTCTGTGGCACCACGATTCGCTGTGCAGAGTTGCATCCCTTGGGCACGCCAGAAACCTATGATTTTGTGTTCGAATCCCGGTTCGCCCCGATTATGTGTCTAGGTTTGTCTGCACCGTACCCATTCTTGTGGGTTTCACCAAAGTGGTAAACCTCTGACACCTGCATCACTTCGGGCTTTCCTCCCACATTAAGCTGACACGCCGTGATATAACTGGAATACTGTTAAAAGCAGCGTTAAACCCAACTCACTCACTCACTCAGTCTCTCACAAGGTTCGCTGTAAAGGCAACAGTAGTGCTTATCTGATCATTGTCGCTGTTATAATGAGTGAGTGAGTATGGTTTTACGCCGCTTTTAGCAATATTTCAGCAATATCACGGCGGGGGACACCAGAAATGGGCTTCACACATTGTACCCATGTCAGGAATCGAACCCGGGTCTTCAGCGTGACAGGCGAACGCTTTAACAACTGGGCTACCCGACCACCCCTCACTGTTATAATGGTTAGTTGAAGCGATCTGTCCTTTAGTTCACACTCAATTTAACTCACATAATTATGCGTGATATTGAATAACATTTTAGATAAATTTGATGAAATGGATTTCAGAAAAAAGTTTGCATTGAACACAACAGAAGTCAAAACCATGATTTTTTTATGATTTTAATAAAAGTTTATTCTGATCCTTCATCTGATTTGAATATCAATTTCTGAAATGGATCATGCCATTGGAGTGTCATTAATGGTATATGCAACACTTGAACAGATGTCATGACAATACACCTGAATCATGCTACTAGGGATGTTGGTGGTATGTAAAACTTGAAACTGATGACATGACAATACACCAGAATCATGCTACTAGGATTGTTGGTGGTACGTGAAACTTGGAACTGATGACATGACAATACACCCGAATCGTGCTACTAGGGTGGTGGGTGGTATGTGAAACTTGGAACAGATGTCATGACAATACACCTGAATCGTGCTACTAGGGTTGTTGGTGGTACGTGAAACTTGGAACAGATGGCATGACAATACACCTGAATCATGCTACTAGTGTGGTGGGAGGTGTGTGAAACTTGGAACAGATGTCATGACAATACACCTGAATCGTGCTACTAGGGTTGTTGGTGGTATGTGAAACTTGGAACCGATGACATGACAATACACCCGAATCATGCTTCTAGGGTTGGTGGTATGTGAAACTTGGAACATATGACATGACAATACACCTGAATCATGCTACTAGGGTTGTTGGTGGTACGAGAAACTTGGAACAGATGTCATGAAAATACACCAGAATCGTGCTACTAGGGTTGTTAGTGGTATGTGAAACTTGGAACAGATGACATGACAATACACCTGAATCATGCTACTAGGGTTGTTGGTACGAGAAACTTGGAACAGATGTCATAACAATACACCAGAATCGTGCTACTAGGGTTGTTGGTGGTATGTGAAACTTGGAACTGATGACATGACAATACACCTGAATCATGCTACTAGGGTGGTGGGTGGTATGTTATGAAACTTGGAACATATGACTTGACAATACACCTGAATTGTGCTTCTAGGGTGGTTGTTGGTACGTGAAACTTGGAACTGATGGAATGACAATACACCTGAATCATGCAACTAGGGTTGTTGGTACGTGAAACTTGAAACTGATGACATGACAATACACCCGAATCATGCTACTAGGGTTGTTGGTGGTATGTGAAACTTGGAACAGATGACATGACAATACACCTGAATCATGCTACTAGGGTTGTTGGTACGAGAAACTTGGAACTGATGACATGACAATACACCCGAATCATGCTACTAGGGTTGTTGGTGGTACGTGAAACTTGGAACTGATGGCATGACAATACACCTGAATCATGCTACTAGGGTTGTTGGTGGTACGAGAAACTTGGAACAGATGTCATGACAATACACCCGAATCATGCTACTAGGGATGTTGGTGGTACGAGAAACTTGGAACTGATGACATGACAATACACCCGAATCATGCTACTAGGGTTGTTGGTGGTACGAGAAACTTGGAACAGATGTCATGACAATACACCAGAATCATGCTACTAGGGTTGTTAGTGGTATGTGAAACTTGGAACTGATGACATGACAATACACCAGAATCATGCTACTAGGGTTGTTGGTATGTGAAACTTGGAACTGATGGCATGACAATACACCTGAATCATGCTACTAGGGTTGTTGGTATGTGAAACTTGGAACAGATGTCATGACAATACACCAGAATCATGCTACTAGGGTTGTTAGTGGTATGTGAAACTTGGAACAGATGACATGACAATACACCTGAATCATGCTACTAGGGTTGTTGGTACGCGAAACTTGGAAAAGATGTCATGACAATACACCAGAATCATGCTACTAGGGATGTTGGTGGTACGAGAAACTTGGAACTGATGACATGACAATACACCCGAATCATGCTACTAGGGTTGTTGGTATGTGAAACTTGGAACAGATGTCATGACAATACACCAGAATCATGCTACTAGGGTTGTTGGTATGTGAAACTTGGAACAGATGTCATGACAATACACCAGAATCATGCTACTAGGGTTGTTAGTGGTATGTGAAACTTGGAACAGATGTCATGACAATACACCAGAATCATGCTACTAGAGTTGTTGGTATGTGAAACTTGGAACTGATGGCATGACAATACACCAGAATCATGCTACTAGGGTTGTTGGTATGTGAAACTTGGAACAGCTGTCATGACAATACACCCGAATCATGCTACTAGGGTTGTTAGTGGTATGTGAAACTTGGAACAGATGACATGACAATACACCTGAATCATGCTACTAGGGTTGTTGGTACGAGAAACTTGGAACAGATGTCATGACAATACACCAGAATCATGCTACTAGGGTTGTTAGTGGTATGTGAAACTTGGAACAGATGACATGACAATACACCTGAATCATGCTACTAGGGTTGTTGTTACGAGAAACTTGGAACAGATGTCATGACAATACACCAGAATCATGCTACTAGGGTTGGTGGTATGTGAAACTTGGAACTGATGACATGACAATACACCCGAATCATGCTACTAGGGTTGTTGGTATGTGAAACTTGGAACATATGACATGACAATACACCTGAATCATGCTACTAGGGTTGTTGGTACGAGAAACTTGGAACTGATGTCATGACAATACACCAGAATCGTGCTACTAGGGTTGTTAGTGGTATGTGAAACTTGGAACAGATGACATGACAATACACCTGAATCATGCTACTAGGGTTGTTGGTACGAGAAACTTGGAACAGATGTCATGACAATACACCAGAATCGTGGTACTAGGGTTGTTGGTGGTATGTGAAACTTGGAACTGATGACATGACAATACACCTGAATCATGCTACTAGGGTGGTGGGTGGTATGTGAAACTTGGAACATATCACTTGACAATACACCTGAATTGTGCTTCTAGGGTGGTTGTTGGTACGTGAAACTTGGAACTGATGGAATGACAATACACCTGAATCATGCTACTAGGGTTGTTGGTACGTGAAACTTGAAACTGATGACATGACAATACACCCGAATCATGCTACTAGGGTTGTTGGTGGCATGTGAAACTTGGAACAGATGACATGACAATACACCAGAATCATGCTACTAGGGTGGTGGGTTGGTACGTGAAACTTGGAACTGATGTCATGACAATACACCTGAATCGTGCTGCTAGGGTGGTGGGTGGTATGTGAAACTTGGAACAGATGACTTGACAATACACCTGAATTGTGCTTCTAGGGTGGTTGTTGGTACGTCAAACTTGGAAGTGATGGAATGACAATACACCTGAATCATGCTACTAGGGTTGTTGGTACGTGACACTTGAAACTGATGACATGACAATACACCCGAATCATGCTACTAGGGTTGTTGGTGGCATGTGAAACTTGGAACAGATGACATGACAATACACCAGAATCATGCTACTAGGGTGGTGGGTTGGTACGTGAAACTTGGAACTGATGTCATGACAATACACCTGAATCGTGCTGCTAGGGTGGTGGGTGGTATGTGAAACTTGGAACATATGACTTGACAATACACCTGAATTGTGCTTCTAGGGTGGTTGTTGGTACGTGAAACTTGGAACTGATGGAATGACAATACACCTGAATCATGCTACTAGGGTTGTTGGTACGTGAAACTTGAAACTGATGACATGACAATACACCTGAATCATGCTACTAGGGTTGTTGGTGGTATGTGAAACTTGGAACTGATGACATGACAATACACCAGAATCATGCTACTAGGGTGGTGGGTGGTACGTGAAACTTGGAACTGATGTCATGACAATACACCTGAATCGTGCTACTAGGGTGGTTGTTGGTACGTGAAACTTGGAACTGATGTCATGACAATACACCTGAATCGTGCTACTAGGGTGGTGGGTGGTATGTGAAACTTTGAACTGATGACATGACAATACACCTGAATCGTGCTACTAGGGTGGTGGGTGGTACGAGAATCTTGGAACTGATGGCATGACAATACACCTGAATCATGCTACTAGGGTGGTGGGTGGTACGTGAAACTTGAACAGATATCACGACAATGTCATTATTAATTTTATTATGTTGTCTTTCACGTGGAAACTAATACATGATGATGTAAATGGATCATAAGATCACCAGGACGCAAAATCCAAGAGGGCCTATGGCAGGCTCTGTACCTGTTGTCTGTCTGACATCTATGGACTTCTAAGAACAGTCCAAGGACTAAACATTAATTTGAAGGAGACTGCTTACCATATGGAATTTAGATAAATATATTGGGTGTTTGTTTTTCTTATTATGAATAAGATTAAAAATTGTGAAAAATGTTGAAGAATTTTCTTAGAAAACACAAGGCCTAGGAAACTTAACCATTGTAGGGTTTGTACATATGAATGACCATATTTTAATGAACAACGCTCGGTTGAGCAGTCGTCAATTGTATTATCTTCCCCGAAGGACACTGGTCACCAAACCCGACTTGCGTCTCTACTTGCTTTAAGTGTGGAACTGGAGACCAATTATACTCGGAATTTGCCGCGGGGGAATATTGGATTCGATGTGTATGTTCCTCATGAACTTGTCCAAACATTTGGTAATACATGCGCTCTTTGTGCTTCTGTCTGAAGTCGTACATGATGATCTCCACATGAGCTTACCGGCTATATTCTTGAGAGAAGGGTCTTTTTCTCAAGATAATTATTCGATATATTTGTGACTGTTCTTTCCATAACTTCGCATAAATCGAACGTTGATGAAATTGGTCTATATGAAGCAGGCGTTTCATCATCGTTCCACTACACTTTGGGCATGAAAGTAGATTTATTACTTGACGTTTTTTCGATGGTAGCACGGAATATTTCAATAATTTGTGCAATAATATTACCATTTGAAACATCAACATATTTATTTTTATTTTGTCAGAGCCATACCCGTGCTCGTGGGTTTAACCAAGGTGGCGTTAAACTTGATTCACTCGCTCTCACCTCGTTTTAATTATTAGTTAAGAAGTAAAATGTTACTCGTATCACAAACACAAGTAATATCACAAAGAAAAGACAAATCCGACCAGTTTTTGTTTTTAAATTTCCATTGCAGAACATGGACAAAAGTTCTGAGAAGACTGACCTGAATTTCTGTAAATAGTGAGAAGTGATCACAAACGGAAGCGGTGTCTTGGGACACGTCTCAGTTACATTTAGATGCTTAGGAGGAGGATTAACATCCTCCCATATCTATTCGGGTCCTTTTACCATCATTTAAAATTACCAGGTGTTTCATCTCAACCCTTTTCAACAACTGTTCTATTGTAATCTGTTTTATTATTTCACCACAAAAGAACCTGACCATTAAACTCGGCAGGGATGAAAAGGGTTCAGGACCATCCTCAGCTTACTTCAGGTAAGCGGGGGGCGGTCGGGTAGCCTTGTGGTTAAAGCGTTCGCTCGTCACGCCGAAGACCTGGGTTCGATTCCCGACATGAGTACAATGTGTGAAGCCCATTTCTGGTGTCCCCCGCCGTGATATTGCTGGACTATTGCTAAAAGCGGCGTAAAATCATACTCACTCACTCACTCAGGTAGTCGGTCAACCATCCTTTTGTTGGTGTGAGGACAGGCGGTATAACGTCTCATGACAACGACATGATGTGTGTGTTATGTGCATGTTTGCTGCATGCATGACCCAAGGTCACCCTACACCAACAGTATTGTCCAAGGATAACGTGATATTCGTGAGGTGTATTGCTTTTTTCAAACGTGAATTAAAAAAAAGAACTCCTTTGATATTTGTTCGTTGTTTCACAAAGAGAATGCAACTAGCAAATCTCGAAGGACTATATTCTGAATTATCTCCCCTGATAAGCGTTCAAAACCTGCGGATGACGAACCCAGGGGCCATCCCAAATCCTAAGAAGAAAGAAAAGCTAGACAGTTTTGACAAGCAAGCACTGAGGGATGTCACTCCATCTGTCGTTATTGATTTTACTTACTACCGACAATGACATAGACATGAAACACGGATTTTCCGACGACTGCGCATCTCCTGCTACTCGGATGGTGTTTAACCAACACTTCTTGTACAATATTAAGTTTTTATATAATAAGGAAGTTTAAATCAAATTTCCTCTCAAAAGTCAATTTAATTTATTTACATGTCTTTGAGACATTCTCTCGTCGTCGGGCTTGATATTAAGGTGACCTTGGGTCATGGAGTCATGCATGCAGCAAGCATGTTTGACACACATTATGACATTGTTATGAGACGGTAAATCGTCTGTTCTTACCTCCCAGACCCTGACAACTAGGGTTTTGACAAATGGGGTAGAAGACTTAAAAGTCCACGTAACAACAGACCCCGTTGTGTTTCACTGTCAAGATATGTGAGCGTTCACGTAACAATAGACCCCGTTGTATTCCAATGTCAAGCGATGTGAGAAATGTATAATACGCATGTTTAAAGGTGAGTTAGGACAGTCTATTTGTTTGTTTGTTTAACGCCACATTTTACCGGATATTTCTGCTGATTTGGGACTTTTGTTGTTTTTGTTTAACGCCGCATATTCCAGCTATATGACGGTGCTCTGTAAATAATCGGGTCTGGACCAGACAATCCAGTGACTGACATCTTGAGCATCGATTCACGCAATTGGGATCGATGACATGCATCAACCAAGTCAGCGAGCCTGATCACCCGATCCCGTTAGTCGCCTCTCACGACAAACATAGTCGCTTTTTACGGCAAGCGTGGGTTACTGAAGACCTGATCTACCCCGGATCTTCTGAATACGATGTATGGTATGATGGTAAGTCAGCAGTAACGACAAACGCTTTGCTTTGAGAATCACTCAGCTTTAATAGAACAAATGAGTCAACAAGAAATGTATGAAACTGGAAACGGATGTCGGAGATAGTTTGTACGACCATTGACCTAACAACGTCACTTTCCACGTTTACCGTCACCGACGTTACACAAACAAATTCTAATTGTAGAGGAGGTAATCGATCCGAGATGCCGACTTTCATGTTGATGTAAAATAACGCTGTGTTCACTTTTAGAAAAAGAGAGATGTTTTTGTTGAATTTATCAAAATAAATTATTTATTGGACATGGAATCACTTCATGTGCTTCACCAGATCGACTTTCCCCAGAACGGGCTAAAGGTACCCATATCCACGGCATTTGTTGAATCAGCGATACTTTATTATAGATTTCACAACTCGGGTACACCATCCTCAACAAACGTTCCCAATAATAACAAAATGAATAATAGTACAACTTGCTTATTGTGAGCATAACATACTGTCATAGTGTGTTCAATGTGAATACTTTGTGTCAAAAAGGGAACACATGATATTTGGTGTTAGGTATGAGAAAACACGTTTAATTCATGTACAAACACGTGAGAAACATACATATTGCATATGTACACGTAATATCACAAATAGTACAGATATATTTACAATGTGTATTTGACAAATGAGAAGCACACGTTTACAGTGATTATGTGCAGGCTTTTTCAAGTGAGTATCATTATAATATGTTATTCGTTATCACAACCGTGTAAGTTGTCATCTCATTTTTGCAAACAAGATGGCATTATACGTGTGCATTCCTAAACTATAAACATTGATTCTCAACAGAACCATCAAATGACCTTTCAAACAAAACTGATAATGTTTATTTCAGTAATGGCAACACGTACTATAACACAGCTTTGCGATGATGAACAATGTAGGTTAGCGTTATAGAAACCACCCAATAAACCTGAAAGTGCTTATTGCAGTGATACAGATTTGTGTCCAGATTAATGATGCCCTTATTATGTAGCACTTACAGGGTTCAAATTACACGTTGACTCCCCAAGGAAGGCGATCATATCACACAAAATAAAACCACACATTATATATATATTGTCCAGTTTGCTATCGATAAACCTTACGTCACCAATATTAATATTCTATGGATAAATTACCAAGATAAAACTTATATCATGTACTAGAATATATTGATAATTTCATCCTATTGTTATATTAACGTTGTGCAGGAACAAGCACTTCGTCATTCTGTTGATTGTCAATCACAAATATTTGAAAGCATTGTTACGAAGTAATGCCGTTGTCAACCCTTCTACAAACTTGCCCTTAATACGTAAATGAGTTCATATAACGAGGTCTAACTGGTGGTATAAAATACGATGCCCCTTAAGGGATGATGTGCTCCTATGTGATATGTTAATGACATGGTTTTGTGTACAAGCTGATGGATGCTTTGTTCGATACTTAACAAGAACGAATGGTAAACAGTACATGTAGTTAATGACGCCGCGTACAGCGTGTTATCCGTCCTTGTCAGTTGACGGAAATTGAGGTATATTAAACAAAACTGTTTCAATAGTGTAACATTTGGTGAGACACATAGAAATTCAAGGTTAACAGTGGTGTATAAATGCATTCTACCCTACAACATGGGAACCACGTTTTAATAATAAAGGTGTGATGTTTGGCGTATTATGACATATTGCTGCATGATCTCTATATCATGTGAGATACATTCGAAACACCTTGGCAAATTCTCATATATGCACCATTGAGGATATGGTTTAGCATTGAGCTTCAATCTGCTCTATATGTGGAGTGAGAAAATAAGTGAGGGTACTGATTTCACCCATGTTCTCGATATATCAAAGCAGAAACGCTTGATTTGATAGGTATTTTTTAGAAACAATACGAGTTACACGTATGGACATCGCCAATGGCCGAGGTGTTCCGAATGCCACATCAATCAAGTCCGCGATAATATCTGACAAGACATATCACAGTGAGCTTCTGACACTGACGACACATTCTGACACAATCAGTGGAAATTTCGGGGAAAATCCAGTATAAACATGCAGTATCACAGATGTGACTTCTAAACATACTGAAATCGACATATAATTTGGCTACAAGAAAGGCGAAGTGACAACAGTTCCTGTGGTACCAGATACGTTTTTCAATCTCCCTCTGCATGAAATACATGAAGTCGGCAGTGTTTGAAATAAAGTATCATTGTTACCGACGTGACTCTTTCGAGCATTTAATACCACCAAAGCATAAACGATATTTTAAAACGAGCTTAGCCACAAAAGTACCACAGGTCGTGTTAACTGGCACAGAATGTTCACGACTATGAGAAGCAAACTTTCAGCACTTTCGGCTCGATTGCATTCCGTCAATTTGTGGAATGCAAAATGAATTTATTTATCCTTATCGAAATTCCTTAATGCCACGCTGTTGATTCATGTTTTAAAGTCTATTACATTCCATACAAAACCTATAAATGGCACAGATTTGAACACATCGCATTGATTGCAAAATGTGAAAAGTTTACATCAAAATATCGCAACTGTAACATAAATTGATTTTAGAAGTTGTCATACTTTGAGAACCATGAAGTAGAATCTGAGGAGCTAGTAATGTGTACGTACGTGCATACCGCGAACCTGAAGATGAAGACATAGAGAAACAGTAGGTGAAGACGTAGAAGTTTCGGCTCTCTGGTATATATAATTGTGAACTAGAATGTGAAGATCTGATTATTTCGCATCTGCTGGTATAACCGTGAACCGAAAATGAAGACACAGACAGACCTACTCAGATAAACGTAAACCAGATGATAATCTACTTGGACAAATTTGTAGCCAACCAAAATATGACATCAGAATGTTCACTGAGAGGTTTGAAAGAACCAACACCCCCTTTCCGGGACAAAATCAATTAAGCTAGATAGACCATTATTTTACGCCAATCAGATAAAGTGTTCACTCATGGAAATACGTTCTATGCAAACATAAATGACCAATCAGACCAACTATATTCATTCAGGCTAATCAAATAGAAAGAGAATGATAAACTATGTAAAGTATTAAGGTTGGTAGAAGCCAGTCACGCCCATGAGACCTGTCCATAAATAATATCTACATGGTCCATCAAAAAGATATATTCATCGCGTATGCAACATCGCGAACCAACAGATTACATAAGACCAGTTAGCACCTCCGCTAGGTTAGTCAACACCAAACGCCAACAGATCCACAACCTCTGTCAACACCAAGGACCAACTCATCCATATTGTCAGTCAACGCCAGAGAAAACATATCCACATCATCAGCTCAAGGTTCAACGTAACCATAACGTCAGTTCAACGTGTCCATAACGTCATTCAACACCAAGGGCCAACATTTCCATTTCATTCACCAGCAAGGTCCATCAGATCCATAACGTCATTCAACACCCCGGGTAACATATCCAGTTCATTCACCTGCAAGGTCCATCAGATCCATAACGTCATTCAACACCAAGTGCAAACAGATCTGTAATGTATCAGGGCTCTTCATCGCGTAATATAATCGCCCTTAAGTCCATCAGGGTCATCGATTTACTAACGTCTTTTAGTTCCTATAAGCCATTACGTTTGCTTGGTAGATCAATGATCACAGGTTTGCCTTCCCGTCGTACATCGCCATCTTCTTTCAGATGCATCTGATAGTTTGAGTTTGGCACTGAGAAAGTTCTAGGTATAGGTGCATAAGGTCGTTTCAGCTCATGACACAGAAGCCACTCTTTTGCTTTTTACTCTTGCAGTGTTTGGGTGAAAAGTCTTGGTCACACACTGAATCCTGTTTAATGGCTTTCGGTGTAGGTGCAGTTGGTTGATACTTTCTTTGTGGTGCTTTATTAACGGATCTACTACTAACTGGAGGGCTCTGTGGAAAGAAGAAAATGCACAATATCGAGTATTGGACACAATGATTAGGAACGTACGTCTGGGTTGTATAACAGCCTAATTCTGCGACAAGGGATGAGGTAAATGCTTTCAAGACACAGACAGATTTAGGCAATGTATGACACTTATTAACAGCAATATTAGAGACTACGTGAAGCTAATATTTCGGGTGTTTATTGACATTTCGTGGCCAATTCAAGGCAGTAGACGCCATATGTACACAACACATATCCATTTATAAAATACCCTACCCCTACATCAACTGAATCGACAATTGCAAAATGTTCGAAACACAATTTGTTATTTAAAGTAGACGTCCTTGTTTATTACTCGATTCGGAATGGGCTAGTTGATACGCTGTGGTATGAATAGCAAAATCAACAGTGGTCCTTCATGTCAAACAATTAACTTTAACATATACATAGCACAGAAATGTAGAATCATCAATTCAATTATGTGATAGTGAACAATGACAACATACACTTTGGTGCAAGTTTTAACATACATCATACAACATTAAGAAAAAAAAACGTAATTAACGTATTTCGGTGGAACATGTGTGCATGCATACCAAATTTTTCTCAAGTAAACCAAAACTCGTGACAATTTCCAAAATACACTCACTAAAGTTTCGTGTCCACACATGTCTTTGATAATCTTGTTAAAAAGTTGTATTTTTAATATAATAATATAAAGACACATTGTATTAATGCTGCCGTTGTGATCCAAATGTTAATAAACTTGAGAAGATCATTGTTATAGATCTTTTAAGGTAAAATCATCTTGATACGTCTTCAAGATGCTTCTTCAAATATGTTCCACTTCGTAGTCCTTATTAATGACCTTCCCCAAAGAACTGTCTAGGCTAAATGATTTTAAGTTCTATAACTTTGGAATGGTTGCGCATTTCCTCAACATGTGTAATCAACTGAAAGGTTACCTACGCAAGTGTTAAGAATCGAAAGTTAATATCTATTCTCCAAAGCTTCGGAATCAGATTTTTTACATAGCTTTCATATTGTGGTAAACACGCAATCTAGAGAAATTATATAGTCACGGACTAATAAGTCAAACTGACTTTCTCCGGTCGTCTCCTTGTATATGTGGAAGCGAATTGATACACCATTTTTGTTTTGCAAGTCACTTGAAGCTTAGACATTCTAGTCAGTACGTGTACTCCTTCATAAAATGAAGCTTTTCAGTTCAATAAATGTAACTATTATCACAAAGCAACCATTCCAAAGATATACGCTTTTAACATTTCGTTACCAATGTTACCTGGGATCCATTGTGTGCAGACTGTGCAGTGTGAGACGAAGCGCCATTTTGTTTTTGTGAAGCGAGAGTGACTGAATCAGTGTCACGTGACTTGCTAGCTACATGATCATTGGACAAAGGCTGTGGAGAGGGTTGTGGTGACGAACTTAGAATTTCTTTGCTACTGTCCGTTTTACTTCCGGTTTCCGGTTTAGGAGTGTTGGAGGCTGTTTCAAGAAAATAGGCACCATATTAGCACGTCCATATTTATGAACAGGGAACCAATTGTTTATACGGATGTACTGCTATTTATATTTCAGCGAACGTTGACATGAATTCTTTAGTTCAGAGCAGCATTTGTCCAGAGACATTTTTAAGTTTGACTATCTGTTTGGTTATATTTTAGAAAGATTATTAACCATTCGTAGAATTTACATAATATAATAAATCATAACAGAATTTCATGAAATGATAATTCAGTTTATGTTTGAAATGAATAGTATGATTTGAGAAGAACACACGACAATGAGAAGTATTAGTAATAGAACGCTAATCATCTACAGACGACTCCTTCCACTCTACCCAAGAAGAGCGACGTATATTGTACATAGAACCATTTTAATTTATTAATGTACATGATAATCACATTTCAAGCCCCTTTGGCCTTTACCACCCAACCTTACAATAAGCAACATCTTATTAAAAGTTAAAGTGTCCAGAGTTAATGATGGTATGATGGCATCATGGAAGGAGTCTGTGTTATATTTGAGAGCCGAGTGATGGTGACAATTAAGACCCGGATACGGAACATTCGAAGCCAAGAAAAATGCTATCTGTTTCAGTGCATACAGTGTGTTGAAAAGCAGAAGGAAAATGCAATTATTAGAATTATTTATTTGAACTATAAGCATGTGAACACTTGTGAATAAGATAAAACACCCTTACGTATTATATGACCCAGCTACAGTGACATTCTGGTAATATTTGAATGTCATTTGAACGCGGAAAATACCTACATCATTTTCTCATCGCACACATACCCCCACCAACAGCCAATGAGGGTATAAAGAAACGGGATGGGGAATACCGTCTAAATACTGCTATAGGTATGGGGAGGGGGACAGAGGACATGGGAAAAGTATGAATCTTACCATAAACACATATCTATATCATGTAATCAGTAAACAGATATATCCTGAGCATCAGTGTCATCGTACTGCTTTTCAAAAGTTTCAGTTCCTGCATATTTTCTATGGCTGAGATGTGGGCTAGGGTATACTAAAGCAAACTGGCGGTCAATTAAATATCGGTTTGCTTTTATGCGTTTTTGAACTATTCGTGTTCTGAAACAATGTTCATTTAATGCCATGATTGGTGTTATTCATCAATGTCTTTTGTACCGAATATCATGGTCCATGAATACTACTGCAAACAAGAATGATAAGGACTGGATTCAGTTAATGCATATGCGTTCTTAAAGTTTAAATTTACTTTCAGTGTTAAGGTCAGTTCAATAATTTTAAGAAAGGGCGCAAACCATGCAGGATGGTGCCGAGGGTGCCTGGAGTAGTGATGTGGACCGAGTGATCATACCTTCATGCAAAGATGCCAATTACCGTACGTTTAATATTTAATGAATGTGTTCAGAACTGGCGAAAAAGCTATGCACATGCAGAGAGGCATACAAAAAAAAGACCCCAACGAAGTTGAATCCCAGTTCCCAGTATTCCATTTGCGACAACACTAACTCCACTAAATTGAACCATACTATGGGAGGGGCAGGGGTGGGTGGGGCATGCGAAGGTTAACAAGTTGCTAGCAGTTGTTAGGGTTAACAGTTTAACAGAACTAAGGTCGTTAGACAGGACAAGATCAAACATGTGAGCAAGGGAGACCGTAGACAGAGGTCACCAAGACTTGAGGTCACCAGGACCTCAGATGCACCTGGTGTAGATGATGACTCCTTACACTCTGTATCTATGTTATCAGCCAAATGCTGCCAGTTTGTCCTATTGCTTTGGCATCCATTATACAATGGGTCCAATTTGTCAGTCATCGAGGCAAACAGCTGTCAAATAGGTACCAAAATCATCTGTCAGTGACACGGCATTGATCATGCAGACAACATAGAAGTGAAGAGCAGAACTATTTGTCATACAGTCACTCAACATAATAATGTGTAGCGATACAAAAACACAAAAATTTAGATTTTTCACTTTAAATCGTGAAAATCAAGATTTTTGCACATTTTTAATTTTATCAAATAGTTTCAGTTCAGATCCGAGGCCCTCTGCCACCCAATATTGAAGTGGGCGGATTTGACAGTTTCCGACCTCTTACTTGAATTTGAGATATCATGTTCCAAATAACGGGGAACCACAGTATGTCCAGTATTAGTGGCAATTGATGTATACGTCAGATTGCTGGTGACGTAAGCATTTTACACACGAAAGCATAAATATATTGCGTGTTCTACGGACCCGACGCAGCTGCGATGCCCTGTGCTACGCACTACCGTGTGAAATGACTTGAATATACATTGAGTGCAAAGTGAGTGTCAATTATCCTGTCACACATCCAACTCTGACTGTAGAACTGCTCTGCACCACAGAAATACATAATATAAATTGCAAGAAAATGCTTATGTTAACAAGACAAATCTATCGTTAAAAGTCATATATGAATATGTTACCGTAATAAGAATATACATTTCATGCATTTTCAAAGTTCATAACTATAGGAAATGGACAATATACATTATTATCAAATATGTTTTCATCTGTATGACAAGTTGCTGGGTATGTAGATTACAACAACGACACCCGACATTGCTTCAGTCTTGTATATAGAGGATGTACCGAAGGGATGCGTTAAAGGATTAACGCAAAATTTAGAAAAGATATCAGTTCGAAACACCATTCCTATACCAAACCCAGACAAACAATACGGGTACTTTTACATTTTTGTCAAAAGACTATACTTACTGGTTGTTTCACAGAGTTTTCATAGTTAGGAACAATAAGCTTTTTATATCCTTTTACACACTTCAATTAAAAAGTTCGTGATGTGGTTGAAATCTAATCATGATCAATCCAATAATGTCATTAGTTCAGGATTGTTCAGGATATTTTCGTTTTAAACATGATGCTTTTATATCATGCTTTTAAGTCTAATTGATTTCCTCTTACTTTTGGCTAATTTCAAGTTATCGATGAGATTACGTATTTGTATTATAATGAAAGGCCTACAAACCGTGTCTTTATGACTTACAAACTATCACGTAGACAGTAAGCACTTAATGACAATACACGAGCATAACTATTACTTCTTTCAATTACCATCATCTCCAGCGAAACTAAGACAACTGTATGTATCAATCAATCGAATAACATTTCAAACATGACATCGCTATCATACTACCTATAAATACGAATCACTAATATGATGTGAATATAAATCTTCTATATCCGAAACTGAAGCCATGCAAGTGTTGCTTCTACTATAGTACGACAACCAGGCACACGAAAATAATAAGAGTGTACAAGATGTCGCTGTGCCGCACTTAACCACTGCTCTGGTCGGCCTCCTCGCTCTCTGACATCTGGTGCCAGTTGTCTCTGTTAGTCTGAACACCCTGCAGTAAGGGCTCGAGACGGGTCCATTTGTCAGCGAACATCTTAAGCGACATTGAGCGACATTGAAATAGCTTTAATCACAAATCACAATGGAAGAATCTTAAACATCGCTCTGTTCTATCCATACAATCTTTGATGTCGCAGTGACACCTGCGATGGACGCGAAAGGTGAATTTGATTTTTGGTTATTGCATTCTGCAGAATTTATGTCCTTAGAATTTGGTATTGTCCCTTTGGATACAGACGTGATTATGGAAAGGGTATAACAGTAACACTAGCTTAATGCCGTTTTTCTTTTGCATTCATGGAACAGAAAGCCACATGTAACAATTTGAAGAGCCTGTTAAGCTGTCCTTAGCATATCAAACCAAAGAGAAAGGAAAACGTGGCAAATGAGGACCTTTTCCCCATTTTTTATCTGTGTGTAGTGTTTGGTGCTTTATCTTCCTGTTCGGTGCCATACTCCCTACTAGGAAGTCAGAGCTTGAACATCGTAATTCACATTAAAGTCCTTAACAGATATTTGATATTTGTTAAAAAAAGTCGTAACTTTGTGTTTCTGACATACAAATTATACAAATTGTCAAATATAATGGCCAAATCAGTTTTCTCCCGTCGATTATTCGGAATATAATACACTTTTTATATATACAATTGTCACCAAGAGTTGCGGATCTGTCGTAACATGTACACAATGAATGCTTGAGCTAGCCTTTATGCCGTCTTGAGCAGTATTCCAGCAGCAGGACGGGGTGGGGCACGACGGGTGGGTTTCGTACATTTCCCCATGTTTGGAACCGAACCTGGGTCTTTGGCGGTACGAGTGGACGCTTGAACCTCCAGGCTACCCGACTGCCATGTTCACAGTCATATTCCCAAGATTGGTAATACAACAGGGCGCGTCATAGCGAGGTCTGACTTTAATACCAACATGTGTACACATAATGTTTCACTGGGTTATCCATGCTCAACAAATGTTTGGTTTTAGACACTCAAAATAGCTGCTTATGTAATATCAAAGCAAGCATATAACAGTAACTTATTCACCTTGTAGACTGGCATACATATTGCATCAATGAAGCCGACCTGCATCTTTGGGAGTTCATCCTTTTTGTCCCGATCCATCATTGGCTAAAATATGACCAATACCAAATAAGAATGCAAACATAGATAATTCCCTTGAAATTAGTGCAGCATGTTGCTTGCACAAGTCTACCTCGGTTTCTGAAATGTATCCGTCATATAGTTACACGTTTACCTTCACATGCAAAATGGGAATATCTAAATATAACATTAATATGATAAATCTTCTTGGCACACACACACACGTTAACCATACTTCATTTTGGATCGTTAGAAACGTGCCAGTACCGTATTTTGACATGTTTTATAGTTCATTGCCAAGTAATATATGTGGCATGCATTATAAGCAAATAACCAATAACTAAATAATGTGCCTCTAGTATTGATTTACATAACATCACTTGCCACTTGTAGAAGAAATATTCTTACTATTGGCTGCTCTCCTAGTTTTGTCTTTTCAATATCTCCCTGCTCAAAGAACTCTCCAGCCACCAACTGGGCGACATTCTGTTGGATATCCCACGGTTTAGCAATCGCAGCGACGTCGCACGCCGTCATCATCATTGCTCTGCAATATCATCGACATGACACATTACATCAAGTATCCATTTTCTGCCGTGAACAGCAGAGCCAAGTGTTTGGAAATGCCAGATTACGCTGCTGAATCTGATTAATTCACACGATGTAGTGTGCGGTGGCTAGATTAGCTCAGTAAGCCAAAGCTAAATACGTGTAATTTCCATGAATATTGATCCGAGATGAATAAACGTAAAACTTGAAAAAATATCGTTTCGTCAGGTTGATAGTCTCAAGTTAAAAGGAATACACATTCCAAAATTCAATAAACGAGATATTGTTGCCAGCGAATCAATACGTAAAATGCAGTCGAATTCCAAAAATATTTTTATAATTCTAAATATATTTATATTTATCTGACTTTCCTATCAAACGCAACATAAAGGGGTTAAATCAAGTACCGAACAACCATGGAAGGAGTTATCAATAATAAGATGTATTAGGGTTATTTCATGTTGAGGAATATTCGATACCTATGATTGACATTTGAGTTCCATTATGGGTTTTCTGATGAAATATACCGCAGACCTAATGTCATCGCAAATTTGAACAAAGCCCTAATTAGTCAATTATTTGTCTTAATGGTGCTCTCGTTAATTCACATGCCATGTGGAGATGGAGAATGGCGATGAAGCACCTTTTTGCGTCTAACTATTGTCATGGTAACAGCGATAAACAAACATTTCAGGCGTTTGATGTGTTCGGCTGATGTGGAAGTAAATAGCGGTGAGCGAGGACAGGGTATTAATTCCGTGGAAAAAAACAGCCGCATTTCACCTTGATTGCAAATAAATATTATCATTTTGTCTCCGTGGACAAGAACAGCTGATTGAGAGAAGGTGGCTGTAGCCCCTGCTACCCAAAACGAACTTGCACGTCTAGATTTATCTTTTTGGCAAGAAAAAAACATTTCCGGTTCATGCCCTGTCTGGTTAATATTTATCTATGTGCATTGTGTGTTATTAATTTATAGGTAGGTTCTAAAAGTGAATGAAGAGGGTTGTTAATTGGGGGGAAATAAAATTGATATTTTCAATCAAAATAACATGCCTGTCTTATTAAAACAAGACACCTTATTTTTGCGTATATATGTGCAAGTAACAATGTTGGGAGGTAGAAAAGGATTGGCGTGAACACGAGTTGGATAGTGAAAGCTTTTTATTTAAAGAGAGAGTTCTGCTAATTGGCAATCCCAACAAGTTTTTCATACACAACTTTTTTCTGTGCTAACTCTATTTTTTATTACGCAGATTCATCAAACAGTTAATTTTCACACTGAGAAATGTCTCAGGGATCCTACGTACAGCGACTCAACGAAGACTGGAGGTGAACATGAGGTAAGGTGAAATGCATTTATATAGCGACTTGCATGCACGTGTGTGTGGCTGCTTGTACTATCCCGGGATGATGCCGATCCATAGTGCTAGCCCACTGAGATACCATGCCGCAGTTTAACACGAATACGCCACTTAAACATAGTATACTGACTCCGGACTAGTCCTGTTTTAGTCCCTTAATGCCAGGGTAACAAGAAGTACCATTTTTTAATGTCTTTTGATTTGAAGCGGCCGCGGATCGAACCCCGGACCTTCCGCTCTCCGGGCGGACGCTGTACCACTAGACCACGGAGGCGGTCGGCAGTGAACATGAGAGTGGAGCATAACGTCCTTTCAATGTGTTCAGATTAGTGCGGATCGTGGCGGGTACTTCATATTCGCCATATTTTAATGGATAGTTAAAACACTTGCGGCGAGAAAGAAATAGATACTTTATTTCGACACCCCTCATGTTCTCCATGAGCATCGATCCATGCTTTTGGATACGATGACATGCATCAACAAAGTCAGCGAGCCTGACCACCCGATCCCGTTCGTCGCCTTTTACGGCAAGCATTCGTTGCTGATGACCTAGTCTACCCCGGATCTTCACGGGTCGTGTTTGAGGTTTGGGAATCTCGGACTACCCCACCATTGCAGAGAGCAAAGTTGCCTATCATCTACAATTTGACCGATTCAAATTGAGTCAGTCGTCACGGTGGTTGCATCGCCGAACCGCGCCGTTTTTTCCCCAAAGAACATACTGTTGACGCTTTCCTATCTTCGCCGAGTGCGAAATCGGGTCCCCCGGAAGCGCTCGTTAAATCTCCAACACCATCAACCTTTCGACATCACTGACATGATACATTGTATATGTGTTGACCCATCAACTACTCAACTAACAATTACACGATTTGTTCTTACTATTTCGAACTTACTTTAGAAGATCCTTCTTGTATTTTGAGTCAAACGTTTGCTCTCCACCTTCTATCAATGACTTGAAGTCTCCTCGTTTCCTGTAATATATCACTATGTGTGACTCACTAGGACAAAAGGGACCTTATGGGTGCTAGGATACATTTTTGCTGTGACGTTTGACGTCAACTTACTATAGTGAAGACCGCTATGTGCGCGGACTGTACAAACATATCTTATTTTTCTCTCGTTAGTTCGTAAAATATTATGGCATTATTTCAAAACCTTCAGCATGCATGTCTACTTTCAATTCATTAGTCATCATGTCTAAAAACTGTAATTATTACATGAACAGTTATAAGTCGGAAAATGAGTCCAAATATTTATGTCATGTATCTCTGTAATAAATATGAATTGAAGCTTACGAATAGTATTTTTGTGTTCCAAAGATACTGTAGTCATGAAATATAATGAAAAGTCAAAATGTGATTTTTCACCCATTCGGTCCCTTATTTCATAGTTGGTCACATTTGCTGTTGTCACATTTGTCGGACATGACATACACATGGCAAGACATGACATACACATGGCAAGGTTCACATACAAAGGGCAGGCATTCATTAACTCCTATCAGTTAATTGGTAATGCCAGAACATTTTGTCTTTAGAAAACGTATTGGAAATCATACCGTAGCATCTATCAGACATTGAAACTATTTGTAAATGAATGCATTCAATACAATTTAATCCGAATAGATTATTGAACCAGGCCTCCCTTAATCAAGAAACACGAACCTGCTTTTGAAAGGAACATTGGAGTTTGTGTACTCAGATCAACTTACTTAAAGTATATGGCCAGATCTGTCGACAGAATTGCATGTTCAAGCATTTTGATTGCTTTGCGGTAGTCCCCAGGAGATAAGGACTGGAAGATGTTATTGCCCTGGAAGAAAAACATGACGATGAGCGCATGCAAAATGCCAGATTTATAAGGAGGCATGTAAGAAATCGAATCCGGCTTAGGGCAAAATACACCTGTGCTTGACACCATGAGTCGCCGTCGGTGCACGATGGCATCTAATCAGTGGTAATCCCCGATCCTCATTATCCGCCTTTTCGATAAGCACGCGGCACGTGGACAGGTTTTGACCTGCCATTCACACAAACAGCATTGGTTACGTGCCTCTGTACATCTTAGGTCAGAATAATCTGAAAATACTATGTTTTCATTACAATACTTTCATATGTTAGATGTAGACGTTGAATTTCAGATACTCCTTTTGTTTTCATGCACACCTGCTTACATTGTGGGCATGGTCATTAGGACTCGATTATGGCCCTAAACCTGTCAAAAAGCTCGTGGGTTTCAGCAAAAAGGTAACATGCATGACTTCATTCCAACTTGAAGCTGATTCGGCTTGATATATCTGATATACAGATTTTGAGAAGCGATGGGACACGCATCAGAGGGGATAATGATGTTTAATTCGTTTTGTTCACAGAAAACATTCCAAATTTGTAACTTAAGGTTTCTTTCAGGTTTTATCTTTTATTCTTGCTTTGTTAGTCGTCGCTGTGGCATATTTCCATCTTGCAGGTTCTTACAAGATGTCGTGATTTCTGTATGCTCTTGCATTTGAATGAATGTGTGACTGTCGCTTACGAATGAAATACAGAATCGTCAATAATGGGATTTAAGACACGTTCGCCATCAAACGCAGGAACGGTTGAAGACAAAAAGTGTATTCCCATCACTGAATCCTGACGTCGACAAATGTGCTCCCGGGAGAAGATTAAAATATTTTCGACAAAACATGTATTGATAACAATTTACAGTTTGCGAACGCACGAAGATTATTTTATCTGTAAAGTAAGCCAAGGAATCTCAACAAATGCCTCCGAGGCAAACGGAAACTAATTAACTGTGTCCCAATTTGAAATGTGATGTTAAGAATTTTGGAATGAAATACCGATTACATGCTGAAAATAATATGTTTGCTGTGAATTTATTGAACTTGCTTTTATACGTTTTGATGTCTGTTTACTCTAAACGTCTGTTAGAAGTACTTTTAACATTGGAAACTGTAGAAATCCTAATGTATCTGCAGTTTAGTTGATGTTACATGCACAATTCGTTCGACTGTTTAGTTAGAAAGAAATATATATCCTACGGAAGCCAATAACCGGTATTGGTAGCCAGTCTATTTACGGACACAAATGCAATTTACTGAAAACTGATACATGTACGTACTTATTAACCTGAGTAAAGCTACTCTGGAAACAAAATCTGACAGATTTTCCCTACTAAGTATCTACTGCCAACAACACAGGGAGGTAGCGGGTCTAAAGGAGTGAGTTGGGGTTTCGGCGCCACGGCCTGTCAGCTGAATGTGGATGGAATGCCTGACCTGAACATTTAACACATTAGGGTGAGTGAGTGAGTTGGATTAAGCGCGTCTTTGAACAGTATTCCAGTTACATCAAGGCGTGTCAGTTTGATGTGGGAGGAAATCACGAAGTGATGCAGATCTCAGACGTTTAGAACTTTGGTGAAACCCACGAGTTGGGGTATGGTGCTAACAATGCGAGGATCATAATCAGAGCGAATCTGGGATTCCAGCACCGCTAGGCTTTATACAAAAACGTTGCGATTTCATTGATCATCAACCTTTTTATTTGTCGTGACCGCACAGTGCTCAGTTACGAAGCACTGGTAAAATGCGTTAATATCAAAGGGGTCTCAAATATGGCTTTATTTGTTTGTTGTTTAACGCAACAATCAGCAATATTCCAGCTAAATGACAGCGGTCTGTAAATAATCAAATCTGGACCAGACAATCCAGTGATTGACATCATGCGCATCGATCCACGCAATTGGGTTACGATGACATGCATCAACCAAGTCAGCGAGAATGACAAGCTGATCCTGTTAGTCGCCTCACACGACAAGCATGGGTGGGTTGCTGAAGACCTATTCTAATCCTGATCTTCACGGGTCAACATATGGCTTAAAGTAGAAAACTCAATTACTGGTTGCCAGACCCGGATTTACGCTCTACAAAACATTAATAACAGACCTGGCGAACAGATTTAACAAGTGTACGGAGCAGCGAGGGGACTATTGTTAAAACACAATTAACGCTCACGACAACAGTTCAGTATATATGTATGCCAAGCTCAAAACGGTTTCATCTTCGTACAAGTTGTATAACCCTTCTACCACGTTGCCAACTCGTCGTCAATACATTCTGTCAGGAATGTCTATAAACGACATCACCCTTCGAAATGAGTCATTAAACCAGAAAGTAAATCCGGACCTTTGGGCGTTTTTGTTCGTGTCAGACAGATGTTCACTTGCAATTGAGAGTAGGTCTGAAGAGTAGTGAGTAAGATGGGTTTAATGCCAGTATTCCATTTATGTCACGATGTTTCACTTTGTGTTTATTTTGGGAGGTAATTTATGTAGGCCTCACATTTTTTTTCCTTGGCTGAAACCCACGACCACGGGTATGGCACTGACAAATATATAAATATAATCGGGGCGAACCGGAATTCGAACTTAAGATCACACGTTTCTGGCGTGCCAAAGGGACGCACGTCTGCACAACGAATTGCGGAGCCTCAGGCGACTGGGAAACCTGTGCCTCCCTCTTAAGAATATAACTGTCCTTACCTCGCTGTTGAGTATCATGATGCAGTGGTCAAAGTGATGATGCTCCAGAACGGATGTACTGTACAACATGGCTAATGGTGACGCCACTCTGTTGAGAGACATCGTGGAAGAGTAACATGTGGCCAATACTGAATTAAGCTCTTAACGCTTTAATGTACTGCATGTGTATCAACATTTTGACATTGTTATACCTTCTTAAAAATATGATAAAGTTTAAATTTCCGCAAATTATCATTCAGTGAAACTTCATTACATAATTTGCTCGATATAGAGATTACGTACCATTCTAACCTCGTTAGAATCCTTACATCGGTACTTTGATCCACAACCTGTACTCCGTTTTCTCTCGAATTACGAAAACGCGATGTAATATTATTCCTATAGGGCTTTCGGTTAAAACAATCCACTGTATATATATATAGTTTAGCAAGTAAATTTATGGCACAACCGTTCTTTGTATATTAACTAAGAACAATTGGAAGTCGTGTTTCACCATTACACGAGGGCCATTAGTGTTTATGTTTGTTTGTTATTTAACGCCGCATTCTGCAATTTTCATGCTATAATGACGACGGTCTGTACATAATCGAGTCCAGACCAGACAGTCCAGTGAATGACATCATGGGAATCGATCTACGGAAATAGAAAATCATGACATGCATCAACCGAGTCAGTGAGCCTGACCACCCGATCCCGTTAGTCCCCTTTTAGGACAAGCATGGGTTGCTGAAGACCAGGTCTAAGCCTGATCTTCACGGGTCTTATTATCTGTTTTGTTCTTGTATAGATCATTTTGATGACTACTCACTTGACTTGAAATGCATTATTTGTGCCCCTGTGATCCAGGTCGTGACACAGACAGGCCACCATCAGGGCATATATTTCCAGGTCACCGAAAAGGGGGCGTAACTGGCCGGTCTGCAAAAAAGCACCCATTGTCAGTATTTGAACAAAATAGGGTCTACCTGCTATATGACTGCGGTCTGTAAATACAGTGATCAACATCACAGGCATTGATCTACGCAAAGGTTTGGGATACGCCGACATACATCAACCCGACCCCACCAATCGCCTCTTGCGACAATCATCCTTGTTAAGCTGGGTTTAGTAAATGACTTCAGTTAATATCGAAGGACAGCTGAAGCTGTGATATTACTGAAATATGTTCGTGGTTTATATAAAAATGGGGGGGGGGGGGGGGGGGCTGGCTACAACACTCTTCACTCACACACGGTGACATCCATCAGACGAGTTCGCTCTTCGCACCGTAGACCCGGGTTCGATTCCCGAGATGGGTACAATGTGTGAAGCCCATTTCTGGTGTCCCCCGCCGTGATATTGCTGGAATATTGCTGAAAGCGGCGTAAAACCCACTCACTCACTCCATCAGAAGACATGATCTGTGTAACGTGGTGAACGCAATGCACACAGCAGATACTTACAAATAGCATGGTGAACATTGTCTGACACACGTTGAAGGCATGCCGCCAGTTGTGGTAGGTGACGGGACGGTAGTTTTTCTTCACACTGGCTGTCCATCGACATATTACCTGCAAGGACAGAATGGTCGTATCACCTACTACGACACAAAATATGCAACTGTCGTTAACAATGATTCATATTGGGCAAAGAAAAACAATTAATTGTGTGATGTCAAAGTTTCTTGACCTTTTTTCCAAAACATTATCTTAAGATTCAAACCCTTCAAAGACATTTCAAAGCAAATTGGCTTTACATTAAAATGTTGGCTGAACAGACGTGCGAAATACCATATCTCATTACAGGCTTACATCATAAGGCACTTTAAAACTGTTGATGATGTTCGCGTCGGTAAACATTCTGATGACAGCACGTAGTGTATCATCGTCGCTGAGAACCATGTCGTCGAAGTCGAAACTGTACAGACGGTAGTCGTCGGCGGTTGGGATTTCGCATTCCTGAGGGAACAATTAATAAACCCTTAGAAGAAAATATACTCTACACTAAATTTGAATATAGTATACATCCGAGTGAATTTCTTAAAACTTGAAAGGCTCAGCTGTGGTATGAGTGAAATGAAAGAAATTACACGGTTGCTGTAGGGCTATTTGTAATTCGATGTCCCTAAGCATTCACAAAATACGTATTATCATCACACTCCCTTTTTAGCTTTGTTGATCTGTACCCTTAGAATGAAAATGTCCCTATCACATGTCCATTTATGTATAACACTTTTACAGTTATAAACATCCATTAGGCCTTTTAATTTCTTTTGGCTGGTTTACAAATTACTTGGCCTGATATGTTTACAAAATTTGCAAACACCAGATAAGTACTGCTACCAAAGATGAAAAACAAACACGTTTTAACAGGGCAAAATACCGACAGATAATTGAATGTTTAGTTTTGTTAGAATGAATATTTTTATACGTATTATTCACCATTTCTTACGACAGCTGTGTTAAAATCTGGTGTATTTTTTCATTACACGTAACAGTGAAAAAAACTAGGCAAATATTTTGATTAAAAGTCTTTTGTCGGCCGATCAAGTAATTTATAAACCAACTAAAAAAATATGAAGCTTTACACGTATCGTCCAACGAGTTTCACATAGTATCAAATTAAAATATAAAACACCAAGCCCGAGAATCATCAGTCTCGGTTAGCTACCGAAACAGATTCCATTAGGCCTAAAATGCAAAATAGAGATGAAAATGATATGAATTGATCACTGAAAATCGCAACGATCAACAATGATTTTCAGTGATCCGTTTGTTTGATTTTTCACTGCCTTTTTCCTTAAAGCCCAATGCAATCGGTTTCGTATGATAATCGAGACTGGTATTCCCTGGCGTTTACGTTTCATATTTTACATATGCTTGATGTCACGTAGACATGAACGCGACAAACCCCCTTCCATAATCATATAAATTGAAGGTAATATTGTCCAGCTGAGACATACAACAAGCTTTTCTGTCTCTTCCTTCTGTGCAGTGGCGTGGTAGGAGAGAACTTCTAATGCCACGGTCTGTTTGGCCATCAAGCGACAGGCGTTCTCGTACATCTGACAGTTGTGAATTCCAAGTCCAGTGAAGATGGAAAATGCCTAGAAACATACAGCTAATTGATATAGAACCCACATGTAGACGACGAAGTGGTGTATTTGCATGAAGCCTTCAGTCCCATATAGAAAGCCATATACCCACAGCAAGTGCGAACATTATACCATACATAAATACAAAAATACATAAGGATTATGTCAGTTCATTAAAACAAGTGGTCTTTTTTCGTAAGTATTTAATATGTAATGTGAGAAATCTTTCAAAACCATTGTTAGTGCCCATAACTGACGTAAGGGTATTTTAACTAAGATATTTCCAAACACTTTCCTGTATATATACTTCTCTAAGACCTTCTTAACACGAACAAATAATTATACAGTGGAATTTGTCCTCTGAAGTAGCAAACTGGACATTTTCTCATTGATCATGTTACTTTCTATTATAAAGATGTTTATGATCAGACAATTTATCTGACAGTTCGTCAATTTGCTTTGACAAAAGCTGTGCGGCACCTGTGCAGGTGGGTTACAGGTCGGTTATAGGTGGGTTACGTATTTTGTTGCAGTGGTATCGGTTGAAAGCGGCAGATTGTTTCGAAATACAGTCTAACTCTGACGTCAGACGTTGTTGTTGTCCTCGGTTTTAATGGTGTCAAAATCCCTGTAATTCACTGTGCTTAACTGCTCATTGCGAACAGTGTTACGAAGGAACAACCTACCTCTATGATATGCTCATCATTGTCATCAAACGGGGTGGAATTGAGCTTGTTCATCAGTTGTGTGACACCAATGATCTTCTTGTCACTGTTGAACACTGGCATGCATAGGACGCTCCGTATGTGAAAGCCATCAGGGTCCATACACTAATATCAGAATAAGAAACAAGGTCGTGATTAGTGAGTCATCGGTATTGTGATCAGTGAGTGAGTTGTGTTTAACGCCGCGATTAACAGTACTCCAGTTGTATCACTGCATATCAGTTTGATGTGAGGTTAGATGAGGTGAAATGGGGCTTAAGGCCGCGTCCAAGATTATTGCACTAATATGGCGACGTGCATGCACGTGTGTGTGTGGCTGCTTGTACAAGTCCGGACTAATGCCGATTTATAGTGCTAGCTCACTGAGATACCATGTCACAGTTTAACATGAATACCCCACTCAGACACAGTATACTGACTCCGAGCCGACCAGTCCTTGTTTAGCCCCATAATGCCGAGCGTCAGACAAGGTAACAACAAGTACCATCGTTTAACGTCTTCTGGTATGACGCGTCCGGGGATCGAACCCCGGACCTTCCGCTCTCCGGGCGGACGCTCTACCACTATACCACGGAGGCGGTCTCAGCTTGATGTGGGAAGTGCAGCATCTGCACAACCAGATATGTTTTAAATTATAACTATGAGCTTAACTATCCTTTTAAATAACATCTTGCAACAATTTCATGTGGCAGCCAATTTCTTTTTCTTTAAATGTCTGAAGTATAATTATTTTTATGGTTTACTGCAAACGTCTTTCAATAGAACTTCAGCTATTTGAGCATTCCAAACTATTTCGCAGCGCCCATGCTGTATTTCAGACGATTATTGTCTATTATTAGTATTACCTGAGATTGTGGGTCTGCCCTACACACATAACGGCTAAACTCGTTGACTCATTTTTTTCTGCACATGTCAATACAAAACACATGTGGCGCAGACAAAGAACTATGGTTGTCTATAATTCTAAAAAGTGCAAGCCCACTTGAGCCCCAAGAAGACTTGTTAAGAAGTTTAAATCATCTTCTGCTTAGATTCAAAGATAACTTATTTTCGAAATTTTAAATACTACGGAACCTTTTTTACAAACATAATTAAAACCTTTAACCTTTCAGAGTCTACCAACTTCACACTACAGACAGAGAGACTACACAATTTACATGCAAACACTGCACGAATATGAATTGTCAGAAAAACAAAATTCTTATAATGATGAAAACGATTTTTGCACTCTTGAGAAGATCTTTCGTGGAATAGTCCACACATATGTTTGCGGTTTCAGAGATGTCGAAATTTGTCAAATTCTTCGACAAACTACGGACGAGTCGGACGAACGGTTGCATTATTCGGGAGCAATTATCGAACATGCTATTGTTCACTCACTGGTCCTTTGCCAAATCTTCCATCGATTTCCAAGTCAGGAATATTAACCGCCTGTAAATATAAAGGTTCTATTGTTATCCCTTTGTCGATAATCATGCACTCTCCTTGGAAAGTATAATTTCAGGTGAAGCAGATTGAATGATTAAATCTGCATTGTAAAACTATCTAAAAAGTCTTATTCCGACGGCAATTTGTATACTGATTGTAAATAAAGCGACAAAACCCTTTCCATATCCAATAGAAATCTCAGCACAAAGCAGAGTCGATTGTACGATTCCGACTATATCCTGAGCATGTGTGTATTAATCACTATCAAAGGTCATGATACCAGGTGTTCGCGAAAAGGTGAGCGTACCCTGCTTCACCCGTTACACCCGTCACAAACACATGCAAAGTTAAGTAAATTGTTCACCTGAAATCAAACACGGGAACATACGGTACTAGTCAAAATAGGGATTTGCATCGCACATTATTTTTGTCACTGAGGCGTCAAGTTTGGAAATGCCGTCCATCTATCTACTATAAAACTTTATGAAAGCTTTACTGAGGCCTTGAATGGTGTAACCTTGATCAAATAACTTCTGAGCAAGAGTCGTATAACCCTCTTTGACATTTTGAAAGAGAAAAGTAGAAAGCAGAAAGAGTAAAACCATTCTTACCGTGCCTTGCATGACCACAAATTTTGCAATTTCGGCTGTTTTAGATTTCGACAGGTCCTTTTGACTGGAACAAATGATAGCAACGTTACATAGTTCATAAACATATTCATTGCCATATCAGTCTTGCGTAAATGCAGTATGTTAATTAGTAATTTGAATAACGCAAACACAAGCATTAACATTTTTATGTTTGTTTAATCAGACTCTTACATCCCTCTGAACTATATTAATATTTTACTGGATTATATAAGTAAATAAAATATAATGATTGAGGTGTAAATCAATTAAGTATGATCTTAGATTATTTCCTGAGAGACGTCATCAAAAGACAACCAAAGTCCGGAAAAAAACATCACAGCTGGAGTAAGATCTAAGGCAAGAAGTCAATTCCTTTTAATATGCCCTTCAGATGTATCTAAATAACCTCGAAATCACCGTGTTACATGTAACACTTCACAGGAGAACCCGTCTGTGGGACATAAAATAGAAACGGCACATCAAACATCAAACATAGAAGACGTCCTACCTGGGCTCCAAAACATTTTCTCTGTCTTTGGCGTTGAGATAAAAGGCCATGGAGAAGCTGACTTCCTGTGGAGAGGGAAGACAAGGCCTACTTCAGACATGGCAAGGGGTAACGTGATATCACGAACATGGGCGATTAGGATTTGCGTTTTCTCTGCACGCCATACTATTACCTTTCTCGTTTTGACCTTCTACTGATGTAGACTCCCTTGGGATGGAAAATGTCCTTTCCATGGAATAAAGGGATGATCTTTCTGATCTGTCTTTTGAAGTATAAAGATATTATATTTTTGAATTCGATCGGAATCAATACCAAATTTGCACTGGTTCAACAGCGTAGAGACACTGTTGTGTAAATTGAAAACGTCAACGTCAGAGAAAAATCAATCTCGATTATCTGCCGTCGGGTGAAAAGAAAAAAATAGCGAAGACAGTTACATGAATGGATCACTGAAAATCAATGATGACACTAGGTGTTCTGAAAAGGGTAAGCATGTCCTGCCTGCCGGTGGCATCCACCACTCACGAAATTTGCATAAAAAGTAAATGTTTGTTTGTTGCTTAACGCCGCAGAAAATACTTCCGCCACACGGCGGCGGCCTGTAAATAAGTCGAGTCTTGGACCAGACAACTCAGTGGCATGATAACGCGTTTACTGTTTTAGTTGAAACTAAAAACGATATGTTGACTTGGAATCACTGACGCTGCTTACAAGCAAGTGCAGAGATTCCGCTTCTCACAAGTATAGAGATACACTTAAGAAATATGTTCGTTTTACAACACAGTGGGGGACAGTTTTAAAGTCTCAGCCCAAATAGTTTTTGTAGTTGACTCTGTGACTGAACTGTGGTTAAGTCAGCATGTTCCATATCAGAAACCTTTACAAGTTTTGAGATCCTGCGGAGTTTTCATCAACACTTAGTTAATTCCGGTCTAATAGTATCAGCCATCTCCGTTTTCAAAGTTTTATGCAACACTATATAGTATCTACTGCAGGTGTAGACTAACTGCTAGACCTTTTTTGCTAAAAAAGCCATCGTAATCTGAAACGTGAGATATATTTGTAGAGAGGTTTCCTTTCGTCGCAATCTTTCGCTCATACGGGTAGAGGTTAGTACATCACGAATGGTATCCATGTAGAGATATGGTACCTATAACGAAGAAGAAATAAGTGGTGCCCTTCTGGTGATGGGGCGTGACACGTGGAATAACAAGGAGGTTGATTCTTAAGGCTAGGTTAGGTATGTGAAGTGTAAGAAGAAAGAATAAAGGTCCAGTTCGTTGCTAAGGGGAGTGATGAACATGGCATGAAGCGATGTGATAGGTTCGACAAATGATATCTATGATGTTTTAATTCTAATAACTAAAGAATTAGGAAAATTCATTGTGAGAGAGCCGGTGAATATGGGACGGGTGTAAATATAGTTCTTGTCAGTAGAAAAAAATGTATACGTTAGTAGGTACCAGACAGAAAAAGATTCTGAATGGAAGAATGGCAAAGGCAGCTAAGAGGATAAACAAGATAGTATAAGTAGAATTGAATGACAGCAAGAAATTGTTACAAGATCAATGAAGTTTGAAATTGAAAGATGATTTGTACGGGAAATCGCACAAATGAATTGACATCCGGTAAAGTAAGATATGAATAGACGTCGGAGTTAAATAGATTGGTACTTTTATAGATCAGAAAAGAGAGAAAGAGAAAGGAGTTACCTGTAGATTCCGTGCCTCTCTGTGCTCGCCGGAAGTGCTCGAGGGAGTGCTCATATTGCTGGGGTCCTGGGGGTAAAGGTCAAGGTCATGCAAGTGGGATCACTCTCACAACACAATGACAATGAGGTATCACTATGATAATACATGTAGCTATTACACAATGCATATTCCGGAGAAGGTGCAGTTGTCATGGTTACAAAGGAAGGAGCACACAATATAATGCAGACGGAATCATTTTACCGAACTACAAATATTTGTTCATATCCATATTCACATTTTTTATCGTAATGTGTACCAAATATTATTTCATCTATTTAATTACTTTCTTTCAAAATCTTATTTTACATAACAAATGGCGAGTAACATTTTAACTCCAGAGGCCAGAATGCACGTGATGTGCGAAAGAGGTTAGATATTAGTAGGTACCAGGCTGTTTTGCGATGCTGAATAAAAGTCACAAACCTTTACTTTCCTCCTTATAAGATATTGTGTTTTTTATGGTTTTGCAAAAAGTGTGGTCTTCCCGTATTTATTTAATTGGATATACATTCTACTTTTGTTCAGCATCGAAGCAGTCTGTCCAAGTGATAGTTTTGTTCAGTGTCAAAAAGGTGAAGACTAAGATTTTCACTATGAGATCGGAATTTGCTAGTTCAGATGCGTCCTGATTTTCATGCAACAAACATGTTTGGGATTGTCAAACATGAACAATAATACAGGCAGGCGTTCCAAAATCAGGATATACAGAAGACTATAGACATACAGTACACTATGAATGTATAGAAGACTACGGTATAGACTCAAAGGGACAGGTTTCATACGAATCTTAGTTGCATTTGGCATTAGGTATGGATAGATATGCATGGATATACCCCACCTGTATTTTTATGTTGCCTGAATATCAATTTCATCATCACGTACAAGCAAATTCTCAACATTGTTGCACTGAGTGGTGATATAACCCTGTGCTATATATAAGAGTTTTATCCTGTGTTGAGATACATGTAGGATCGAACCCTGTGCTGACATATATTGGGTCTTACACTGTGCTGAGATGTATGTGGGGTCTAATCCAGTGCTGAGGTATATAAGGGATCTAACCCTGTGCTCAAACTGCATAGTGTTAATATGATGATGGATGATGTGCAGTAGAATACAAAATGAGTCCCTGGTGCATTTACTAGCTACCTAAACGATAAGAGTTAAGTATACGAATCACATATCTATGTACCCATGACTATCCATGTATGTACGAACAACAATACCTGCTACACAATGGCGGGGACGACACGATGCTTGGCATGAAAGTGTGGTATTTCAAACAGTCTACATACGGGGGCTTTAGTAAAGGTATATGAATGCTAACAAAACGAACCAACAACCACTACTTCAACAGTAAAAGCTATATTCGTCTAACGCAGAGATGTAATAAGAAGCATTAGTTGTTTAACTATAACCATGTGGAAGCACTGTACCATTGCATTGGTCCCATCAAGAGGATTTAACAGATTAATATCCTACGGAGAGAAATTGGTCATCAGCATACTACAAATGGCATTTAATGAAATACAATATGATATATAATGTTAATGTTTTACCTACAGGCATTCAAAGCTATATATGTGAACTTCTAAAAATATTTTATTTAATTCAATAAAATGAAAATAAAAATCATAATACAGATTTCTAAACTTCAATTGTTTTTTTTATAGATGTATTTAACACAGCTTCATATGCCTGTAGCGTAATCGTTATCCCTCACACTGAACGCGCATTTGGGGGATAAAACAACATGTAAGTAGTATCACCAAAATTAAGACAATATTAGGAAATATGGGTTTGATGTAGAGTATTTCCTTGGGTACCTGCATTGCCATGACAAGGTTTTTATTGGAGCATTGTCCAAGTCGGGCAACAAACCGTTTGGTAAACTTGTGGATATCCTAGAAAAGACATAATGTCAAATGTCTGTTTGAAACTGTATCGTCTGTATTTCTCACCTTTCGACATCATTGTACACAATTTGTGTTTTAGTTCATATGTCATTGTCATGAATGCATGGACAATATACACATGTAGCATATTAAGTACATATATAACGTGTATAATAAAGTATAATGTGCTGAACATTACTGACTTTCCATGTGCTCATTCAAATTGGTTGTTAATAATGTACATCCTTTAATACACACCACAACACATTCATGAAGTAAAAGGGTGTATAATCAGTGTGCATGTGTATACATTTAATCTTTTTAACTTCAAAGTATGCATTTATGTAAACGGATTGGCATAACATTTCAAGATTGTTATTAGGCCAATTGATCTGCATTACTATACATGTATATAAATATAAATAAATAAGACCAATTCAAAAATATCATGGTTTGCTAGTTATTTTGAATTTATGCGATCCATGACATGGAAATGAACACATATGACAGTTAGTAGAGGCATGAAAATATTTCCCCTAAAGTACGATCAAACAGTCTCTCACGTCAACAATCTCGATACATGTATAGAGTGTACACTGTAAATATGTGTCAACATATGCTAGACACGTTTAAGTCCTTAAAGGAACAACGATATTGCATTTTTTTTTTCAATCGTTTTGAATGGAAAGAGATTAAATTGGTATAAGGTCTCACATACTCACCCAAAATGAAACATGATTTTAAACACGTTCATAAAATGCGGGGGATAAGTTACATCTGTGTAGTTACCCTTCTCGAGTAATAAACAAGAAGTACAGAATCTTACAGTGTGAACTCACTTCCAGGGGAGTCTCCATTAATACCCTAACATGACATTATTAACTTTGATGCTTGAGACAATACTAGCGTAGGATTCGTGTTGATGCTTACATTCTCAAATGTGTCTTCCAGTAGAAAGACACTGCACCTCTCACACTTAAGAAGGTCCTGAGCTTCCACCATGATCTTCTTCACAAGCTGCTGCAAGTTTGTTTGCTCTTCGAATATCCCTCGAGCCAGATGCAGAAGCAACTAAAACAGGCATAGGTCGTAGCAGTGGTACGTGTGTTTGTTGTTATTTAACTCTGATTAAGCTTTCGTACCATGTCATCAATAGTATTGTATCGATGAATATATATCTTCCAATATCAATCGAAATGGCTATTTGCGAAATAGAATATTTGTCTTGTCAACTAAACATGATTTAAACATTACATTTTCATTCAACGAGACCATCGTCTTCTGGCACAACTCAAACATACGAGTATGTCATTAATTTTTTAATTTAGGTATGCGATTCTCTTTGGCGTTGGTTTATTGACATTTTCAGCAATATCAGGGTATGGGCGCTTCACCGATAACAAACCAACATACTCTAGCGTAATGATACAAATAAAGGGAGTGAGTGAGGGAGTTAACATACAACGTCGCGTCGACATTACTCCAGCCATGAAGCGAAAAGAAGAAATGAATATTTACACGCTTTTCATAAATACAAATTTATATTTGAAAGCAACTTTGTCAAACATATTTTAGAATACCATAAAACAAACACGGACATTAAATCAGTACCTAAATGTTTCGCAATGGCATCAGTATCCAAATAAAAGTAAGCCTTTATTAAGTCAATTACATAATACACGAAAGTTAAAGTTATCTGTTGCAGCAGGGGGAATGCCGAGCGTGACGCACTCCAGTGTGTGGACATTTCCTCATCTGAAGAACCCCATGAGCACGAATATCGTGTTGTCATAGAATTAAAAGGCTTGGAATAAAATGGATTCACTTGCGTACAGTTTAACAACTTCTCTTCACGTGCGCCTTGTGGTCTCTAATAATTATTTTTTATAAATGATGCTATTCATAACAATCAGTCTATAAAATAATTTAATTTCAATGAGCATAGCAAAAGGAATATATTTCTAACAACCTTGGGTAATCAATAATGAAAAAGGCTACTGGCAAGGGCTTGATGTCAAGGGAAATACTTCAGTTAGTAATCTTTTACCAAGCCAACTGTCATTAATTATTCAGTCAAATATTTTAGACTTGGCACGATGAACTTGAAGGTTTCTTTGTTAAAATTATACATGATATATTTGTCAATGTTAATATGTCGATGGACTATATTTCATTTTACAACGTAAATATCCAAATTCGAGTTGGTATTCCTCAAGAATTTTCCAACGTAATAGCCTACTCTTCCACCTGATTCACATGAAGTACTTAATCAGCGGGATCACACATGACAATGGCTTCCTTTAACTATACCTGGGTATCCACGCCTCTGTCAAATTCCTCCCCAGGTTCAACCTGCATCTTCTTTTTGCGAGTCTTGTGTGCCATCCTAACTTTAGTATACAGTCTCCAAAAACACGCTGCCATTGCGGACAGTGGCTGTTTTCCAAATACACCATAAACTGGCCGTTGCCATAAACGCAGTTCAACACATTAACTTACGTATTATATTTAACCGTACAAGGCATAGAGAAAGAAGGACAAAACGCGGCGCTATCTTTAGTCATAACCACACACGCGTCAAAGGGATCGTCGGCTACCCAAAGAATGTTCCGTATGGATATGTTAGAATGTGGCTCAGAGTAACGAAAGGAAATATGTGACTGTGGTACGAGTATATAGTCTGCAAAAGGGCAGAATTCGAGACCTATGCTGAAATACACTTACCTGGTTCCTTTGAAATTCGGTGACGGACATTTCAAAGAGTTGCGCATTTGTGATTCCAATTCCACAGAATGTCAGGTACTTTCTAAACAACTGGAAATATAAGGAGGGAGAGGTGTACCCCATTTATGACGACAGGTTAAACGTATTCTATGTGGGTAGATTTTAATAGCAATGCTTTTCAGGAGTGTTTAATGGCGAAATCAAACTGCACCTAATGATTTTGGCATTATATTTTGATAAAGTGGATTAGGAACGGAACACATATAAAAGTAGGAATGGCGGTACAAAAGTGATGGAACGTATGGAATCATGGTTCTTGTGTGATCACCCCATACCTTATGAATCATAAACATATATATCACGATGATAACGATTTATACCTTATGAATCATAAATATATATATCACGATGATAACGAATTGTTTCTTTTCAAACCGAGTTGAATATACCGGTAAATAAACAACACGAGCGGAAGTTTATATTAGTTTGCATCAGGAAATATTTGAATTAACACTTTAATGAAATTTGTACAAGATGGAAAACAACGTGCATGGAAAAGCGTTCAAATCTAAGATCATCATTTATTGATAATTATACTAGGTGTATATTAAACGTGCTTGCGGTATACATGTACCAGCAGACAATAAGGTTGTTACAAAGTTTCGTGAGTGCATTTTCATTTCAGTTGTGGTTTTTATTGACAGATATATGAAGTATATATGTTCCCGACAATATCGATGTCTAGAGAACAGGTGTAGGTCTTTCCGTGTAAGTTTTGTTATTGTATCTTCAACATTTGTTGATAACTTTGAAAACGATAATCAATATCAATGTCGGCTATTAGTGTGTCTGACAGCGTACATGAATTTGATAAACCCCATTTCACAAACAGCATGATTGTAAATCAACACTAGCGTTGACGTAGGATTACAAATATCTCACTTTTTCAAATTCCATTGGAGAGAAGAGAAGTATGTTTATGTGCGTCAATTTCCAACATAATCTTTCCTACATTCGAAACTAATATTGCATGCATACCATTGCATATAACAGGAGAATAATTAATTGTTCGAAGATTATTTGTCAGCATTGCATGCAACAAAGCGCATCAGGTTTCTGTGACTATGTCAATACTAACTTCGGAATAGCTTACAACACGCCAGCACTTATGTGGATTAAAAGGTTTTCATAGGCAAACCCACCTCCTCATCCTGACGGGTAAACTCGTGGTTCCCATCAATCTTGTTGATTATCTGCGCCACCCCGATTACCTCCCCTTCATAGTTGATGATCGGCAAACAGAGGATACTGTGGGTTGTATAGCCAGTGCGTTTGTCAACTTCTTGGTTGAATCTTGGATCCTGTAACAAAAATGCATGTCCTTCTTACATTTTTTGTCGAACACAAAACCCGAAACCTGTTTGCCCGAAACCTGTACAACTGCTGAGATCGTACATAGATAATCAATTGTTTGCAGGCCAGGAAGCATTCATATCTGATTATGGTACCCATGCATGCCTTATGTTGTACGTATAACTGGTTAACTAGGTCGCAGGGTGGAGAGCGATCTTAGATCTACTCTTGTATCTCAAATAATTTAACATGGAACGCTATAACGCTAATTTCGCGTTGAGGAACCAACTCCAGTGCATAAACTGTAAGTATATTATGCATATAAAGTACTTAATTATTACAAATAGTGTTCTCTAGGCATGCATTTAATACGGAGTTGTCACGAACTAAACAAATAAAAATCTGCTTCCAAAGCAGATTGTGTACTTTACAAAGTTTCAAGTCCTTAATGTGATCTACTTCATCTTTCAGAGGACACGGGTGGTCAAGTCGTTAAGGCGCCGCAATTCGCTGTGCAGAGTTACGTCCCTTGGGCACACCAGAAACCTATGATTGTGATAAGACCTGCATCACTTCGGGATTTCGGGCTGACATGCCGTGATATAACTTGAATATTGGCGTCGTTAATCCCAACTCACTCACTCACTCACTCACTCGTCTTTAAGGTGTGTACCTGTTGCTTAATACGTAACATCGCGGATTCCTTAATCAATACAGAAACATTATAGAATACATGTCGGTAGGGTAGCCTAGGGTGCTATCGTCGTTCAATGCCCCTATTCCCGAGTCAACTTCCGTATTAATAGCTGAAATAATGCTAAAAAGAGACATTAAATCAAACTCACGTTTTCAATCTTAACATATGTCTAAAATGAAAGAAATAAAAGAACTTAAAAATATTTATGAAGTTAAGAAAACAAATATATGAAATATCGAAACAGTTGTATTGATATAAATACAAATTATAGAATGTATAGAGTACATACTCGAATATATGAACAGAACAGTACTATGATTAGGTTTTGTATCATGTTTTCTCTGTAACGCAAAATGTGCATTCTTACACTTTTTACAGATCATTGACGACTGTATTAAGTATCGTTTCTTACTCCGATGTATGTGGAAACACAAGGACGCCTGCAGTCGTATGTAAGTCAGTAACTGCGTAGCCACACAGTGAAATCTCGTTAACTCATTGTTTCCTGGCAAATGTTGTATGCTGTACTTGTTATAAAATATGTTCTGACACCAAAGGCGGAATATAGATTAGAAAGGAACATTCAGGGACAATGAGCGCCTAAATTCTTCTGCATTATCTTGAACTATAGACAGACGTTCACAATCCTGAGTCTCATACATGTTTACTCAATGAATGGGGTAGACTATACTCATGAAATGTCATTTCAGAGAATATGTACACAAACATTATCACCACTTCAGAAAATATGCATATAAATATGATCACTATTTCAGGGATTATGAGTACAAATATCATCACTATCTCAGGGAATATGTACACAAACATTATCACTACTTCAGAGAATATGCATATAAATATGATCACTATTTCAGGTAATATGAATACAAATATTATCACTATCTCAGGGAATATGTATACAAATATTATCACTATTTCAGGGAATATGTATACAAATATTATCACTATTTCAGGGAATATGTATACAAATATTATCACTATTTCAGGGAATATGTATACAAATATTATCACTATTTCAGGGAATATGTATACAAATATTATCACTATTTCAGGGAATATGTATACAAATATTATCACTATTTCAGGGAATATGCGTATAAATATCATCACAATTTCAGGGAATATGTGTACAGATATCATCACTATTTCAGGATGAATATGTATACAAATATCATCACTATTTCAGGGAATATGCATATAAATATCATCACAATTTCAGGGAATATGCATATAAATATCATCACAATTTCAGGGAATATGCATATAAATATCATCACAATTTCAGGGAATATGCATATAAATAACATCACAATTTCAGGGAATATGCATATAAATATCATCACTATTTCAGGAAATATGTGTACAGATATCATCACCATTTCAGGGAATATTGTATAATCTCTGCCATACTATCCGATATAATTTCCCCTGCTATTTTGCTTGTATCGGCAGATCATCGAGACCAATTCTCTGACGTTGACGTATTATATTTATATACAAATACACCTTGTGTTATGGTCTTCAGATCACCATGTCGGGCTACCCTCGAGCTCCCACTTCAAGCTGGCACAATATAACTGAATAACGACATGTACAGGGCAGACCTAACCTTCCCACTCATTTATGTCAATATGTGTGATGTTTTAGAATATACTTCTGATCTGTTCTGTTATGTCTACCATACAATTTCTAAATTAAGGATTAAGGTGTCTGCAAAGTGGGGTGATTACGAGAACATATGAAACGATATTCTTGTATTTGTTTCACGCAATGTACTTACTATTCGGTTAATGGTTTTCTTGTGGAATTTAATACTTACAACAGAGATAGATTAGGTTTTGTTTGTCGTTTAACGCCGCACTCAGCAATATTCCAGCTATATGACGGCGGTCTGTAAATAATCGTGTCTGGCCCAGACAATCCAGTGATTGACATCATGAGCATCGATCCAGGCAATTTGGATACGATGACATGCGTCAACCAAATCACCTAGTCTGACCTGAACACCCGATCCCGTTAGTCGACTTACGACAAGCATAGTCGCCTTTTACGGCAAGCATGGATTGCTGAAGACCTATTCTACTCAGGATCTTCACGGATGGGTCTAATCGATTAGGGACCGGTATTAATAGTTTCCATAGACACGTACGCTAAATATGTCAAAATATAGCAGGGTCCGAATGTGACCCCTACCTTCTCGCGAATACCTGGTGTCATGGTGTTTATGATATAGTAGGAATCTTGCAATGGGCTTTCTTAGTATCATGGCAATGTACTTTGTTGATTCTATTGACAGTGTTTGTTTGGTGTTTCAAAATAACAGGATAACAATAATATTTACTTTAGTATTGTATTATGTCATAATCAGAGCATGAGCTTTGCTGTTGAACGCCGCACTGACCAGCAGTGGTTTACAAATGACGGCTGTCTACAAATAATCGAATCTTGACGAGACAATCCAGTGATTAATCTTGTGAACAACAATCCAAGCATTCAGGGTCAGTTGACACGGGTTATCAACCAATGTCACCGAGTCTGACCACCTGATCCATTAAGTCGCCTCTTACGACAAGGTTTGAGCATAGGCAATGAAGATACATGTGTATGTTGGTTTGAAAAGACCTGGCCCATCTTCAAGGCCTTTGTCACACTCGTTAACGTAGCTCCCCTGCTGTGAATCCTCACTCCTATTTCTCTAGTTCTGACAGCCCTACAATTGAACATGGACATGGATCATGGACACTTGAGTCGTTGGTCATAACACACATGTATGTCCTTTCTGTGGGTATTAAAGCTCATGTATAGTTAGTGGACATGAATAACATATCGCCTTTGTTCCTGGTACGCGAACCACTCTGTGATGAAACTCTTTACCCCTCGCCCTAGCTCACCTCTGTCCAAGGGCTTTTTTGGCAGTGAGTGGTTGTTGTCGTCGGCAAATGTCCGATTTCGAGACAGGTCATGTAAATAAAAGCGACAAAACCCTTTCAATATTCCTAAGAAATATCTGCCAAAAGCAGAGACGATTGTACGATTCCAATTGATCGTGTGTTTATGTACCACTATCAAATTGTAACGATACCAGTTGTTCGCTAAAGGTTGAGCGTATCTTGCCACATCAGTGGCACCCGCCACAAACACATGCAAAGGCAAGTCAATTGTTCCCCTCAAAAACGCACGGGAAAAAAGGGAGATGCGTCGGATATAATGTTTGTCACTGATGCGTCAAAATTTGAAATGTCTTCCACATGTCTACCATAAAACGTTTTGAAAGCTTTACTGAAGCCTTGAATGTTGTAAACTTGGTCGCACAATTTCTGAGCAAGAGTCGCATGACCTTTCTTAAAATCTTGGTAGAAAGAGCTTGCTTGATTGTAATTCAAAGATCTGAAATATAATTTAACACCAAATGCTAGAGCTGCAGGAATACTGCTCGACGTAAAAGGAAAGCTGACTATTGAACAGTTGAAGTCATCCCTCTTGTCTTGTGGAGAGTGTTTTGTTCTTCTGACTCTCTGTGCACAGATAAAAAAACATTTGAGGCGGTCTCACTGCTCTCCTTTATATCTTGTTCAAATGGGTATATCAGTGGAAGGGAATCGGCTATTGGGTGGTTATTGAACGATATAGAGCATGGATATACACGAAGCTTCAGATAAACATCTGAAGACCAAATTACCTTGTTTTGGCTTTGCCAAACCGAGCAGAAAAGTTAAACTTGGCTAAATGACCTTGTTTTGACTTTGCACATGCATAACGAAACAGATCAGCAAGAAGGGGAGCACAATTGGTGCCAATGAGGATGCCCACGTCTTGCTTAAATGTCGTACCCCCAAAACTTTGCATAGATGTTATCAATGAGGGCGTCCAACATTCCACATATTGTTTTCTCACTGATGGTACTTTCGACTCTGCTTTATGTAGAGATTTCTGTTGGACATGGACAGGGCTTCGTCGCTTTATGTATAATACTTTATAATACTTCAGATGGCATTTGTTTTCATTTTTTGGCAAATTGCCCTGAAACTCTGAAGATAGGTATGTAACTATATCTATGGTCACCACGTCTTGTAACAAAAGCCCAATGGGTCAAGGAATGAAGTTTGTCCTTTAGTTTGTCAGGTGGGATAATGGTGAATAAAATTGATAAAAACTTATAATAGTAAAGGCATGACATACATCTTTCAATAACAAACGTTTAAATAATCTCTTAAGAACCGGTTTCTCCATAACACCTTTGGACAATTTTGAACAAAATATTCAGTACCATAGTTTCTGCCATGTCGAGTT